CTCCGTCCATCCGTCCATCCGCCCATGGATCCGTCCATGCATCCATGCATCCATGCATCCATGCATCCATGCATCCATGCAGCCACGCATCCATGCGTCCATGCATGCATCCATGCACACATGCATGCATGCATGCATCCATCCCATCCCATCCCATCCCATCCCATCTCATCTCATCTCATCTCATCTCATCCCATCCCATCCCATCCCATCCCATCCCATCGCATCCCACCGTCCATCCGTCCATGATTCCATCCATGAATCCATCCGTGATTCATCCATGATTCATCCATGCATCCATGCATCCATGCATCCATGCATCCATGCATCCATGCATCCATGCATCCATGCATCCATGCATCCATGCATCCATGCATCCATCCCATCCCATCCCATCCCATCATCCACAAATCCAATCATCCGCCCATCTATCCATCCACTCATCCACCCATATCCACCCATCCACCCATCCAGCCAATCAAACAACCTACCAGCTTGTAGGAAACACAGCGGCACGTGCGATTGACATGCATGTATGCAGTTTTACATGCATAAACACCTACAATATGTTCGTACACGCATACACATACCTTCGTGTGCCCACTGTGCATGCCTGCATATGCGCATACGTGCAAGCGTATCTACATGCATGCATGCATGCATGCAGGGATACACGCTTAGACTTCATTTCATACTCTACACTGATGATATTCATCAGTTTACAGAGAGTGCATTAAATGGCCTCGCCTCGTGTGTTTGATGGTGGAAAACGTGTTCTTCTCAGACTTGCCACGCCTCCCCTTCAGCGTGCAGGCCTCGCCGCTGAACGGTGCGATCCGTGTGAGCCCGAGCCCGGCGAGCCCGGCAACGCTCCGCAGCCCGGGCTCTGGCTCTGTTCCATTGCGGCGGCTGCGTTGAGCGGAGGCGAGGCCCACTTGAAGTCCAGACCTATGCTGTTGGGCCTAGCCGTAAGGAGGTCACCAAGGAAAAGGAACCACAGGATGCTTTAAACGTTTGGGGCCGAAGCAACCTCGGAATCAGCATTCCCTCAGCTCAAGACCCAGTTCCTTGACCGTGAATCGGAATCGGACATCCACTTTAGGCAGCCGCGCCACACCAAACAAGCCGCGACCATCTGGCCCGTAAGCCCCAGCATGAACAACCACAAGCCACAAGGTGCAAGGCAGATTGTAGTATGTCGGTTTGGGCATCGGGCGTGTTCGTCTTACAGCCTGTATGGCACGTCGAAAGCTCCTGGGGTCCTTGGAGAATGATCCCGACCCTCTAGTGTAGTATTTCGCGCAAACACAGTACGTATGGTGAGTAGCAAAAAGGATATGCGCAGCGCACTTTCTTGCTGTAGGTCTGAAGTTCCAGCCATGTGCACGCCGCATGATGAAGCGACGTGCTGCATGCAATTTCCATCTGACCTCCAAGACTCATGCGAACCGAAGGTGTTCATCCGACTGAGGTCGCTTTTGCTTGCACGCGCCGTGCTGCATTCGCAGGGTCATCCTGTTGATGCGTGGAATGATTGGAGGCATATAGCGAGGACAGAAGTCCGGGCTGTGATTGAGAAGTATCGGGGCAGACATGCGGATCTACCCTTGTGTGCTTGCGGCGCCACTCTTTTTTCGGCGACCTTCGTTCTCAACTCTTCAGGGTATTCTGTCCCGATGTGGGGAAGTGTCGATTTCGTGTTTGAGCTGATGAACCATGGCAGGTGCGAGGCATCGATTCTGGCCGCTGGGCTTGGAACACCCGCCGAATTCAGTAGCACCACCGGTTATTTCACATCTCTCCGCACCTCTGCCAGCGCCAGGGAGCGGGCAAAGGCAACCTCACAAAACCCTCCAGATCAGAAATCGCGACCACAGCTCTGTGTGTTTACGGTGCTTCGACACGAGTGAAGCCGTTTTTGCTAAAATCCCTGGAAGAACACGTGATCTGGCCAACGAAGGCAGATACTTTCTTTATCCTTGGGGACGTTCTAAACTGTTTAAACCTTATTCAGCAATACACTGACATTCGCTTCCTCAGGGGCATTCTGTTTCGCAGCGATCCTTCACCTTTGGAATTACTCGGGGCCTTCTTGAGTGAGAACGCCACTCTTGGTCCACGGCTCGGTCGCCCGCTCTTCGGACAGCCGGGGGCTAACTTGTACCAAGCTCTCATGCAGAGAAGCTGCCTTGACATTATCGGCTTGGAGGAGGCTGGGAGGCGCCACACCTACAAATGGATCATTGCCAGTCGAATCGATCTGCATTGGCTTGGGCCACACTTTTCCCCTCTCCGTCTTCGAACCTTTGCAGGCACTGGTTTGGACGGTTTCAGCGTCGCCGTGCCTTGGGGTCAGGAAAATGGCGGCGTGAACGATCGCCACATAGTTGTGTCCCGCAGGTTGGCCGGTTGCATCCTCGATATTTGGGGTTCGCACTTAAAGAATAGAAATGCTAGCTCAATGCGTCAGCATCTAAACGGAGAGCAGAAGTGGGCATTGCATTTGCAGAGCTGTGGGGCTCGTGTCCAGAAGTTCAAGCCAATGGCGCTCGTCACATGTTGTGATGACTACGAGACTTGTGAGCACTTCCGTGATACAGTCATCATGGAACCTGGCCAGACAGGAGAAGTGGCACCCGGCATTTGCAGCAGGTATCCTTCAGAATGGACCGAGGTCACACTCGGGCACCACACTGAAGGGGCTTTGATCTATGAGCGGACCCAAGGTGCAACATGGTTACAGCTCGCCAGCGGACAGATTGTTTATGGCTGCTTTGATCACAGAAGTCGTGCGAATACATTGGACCGGCCAGTATTTCCGTGCTGATCTGCTTATCGGACATTGTTCAAGCCTGAGAACAGCTTCTAGTTTGTTTGTTGCTCGAGCAACGTGTTCAGGAATGCCGCATACAGACTCATGTGCCTGTATCCCTTGAGCGTGGAGTTTGACAACAGCCTCCTGGGCGTATGATCACCCAACCTGAAGGGGGATCAGTCCCGCTCCCCCTCCATGGGCAAAACAGGAGCAAGCATGTGCCACACGTCGTTCTTCGGGCACCGTTTTGTTAACAGTGATTTCATTCAATTTGGGATTAGTCGCCCGCGAGGTTCATCTGCCTTTTCAGCCGATGCATCCTCGTCTTCGAGAGGGGTTGTGCGTCGTGAAGTTATCCGTCAGCAGCCTGCCATTTCATGTCTTCAGGCCGCAGCCCGCAGCCGCACTCGCCACCTGGCGTGGACCAGGGACCTGCCGTTGCGACGGAAGAAAGCACCGGCTCGGAAGAGTTTTCGACAAGCGACGATATGCGGTGCTTTAACCAGGCTTTAAAGGCACAGATCATGCAGAGCACTATGGCTGAGCTTAGCAAGGGAGACGGCAACACAGAATCTTGGGGAACTTCAGCTACTTCTTGAGAAACTTCCACCCTAGCAGCAGTCATGTTAGGAACCAAGACAGCATGCTGTTAGCCATCAAGACCCGGCCACTAGAAACAGCACCAGTTGGTTGGTGCTGCAACATCTTGCTCGAACAGTTGCGGAAGTTTCTGGGCTCGACTGCCTTTACGCACTGCGCCTGTGCCTCAGGCAATTTAGATGTCGGAGGCTGGAGGAAAAGTTTTCATGTCGTCGATGGTTCCAGAGTCGTGAATGCACAGTTTGAGCAGATGCTAACCACTGAGGTACAGCGGTGGATTGTACGGAGCTGTGTCATGTCTGATATTTTTTGCGGCATGAGCGTCAGGTTCGTTCACGTGCAGATCAGAGTTCCCGAAGCAGAAGGACCCAGGACTGGGCACACGTGGTCATGCATTGCAGCTGTGGTCGAACGCCTCACGTGGCAGAGAGAGTCACTTCTTCTCGTCGTTTTTCATCACTCGCTACCCAGCAAGGACTAACACACAATCTGGATTCTAGACCCCCTTGCATGTTGGAGACTCCTACAATCAAATTAAAAAAGGGACAAGCAGTGGTTCATGGTCTACTGCTGTAATCTTTGTTGGTCGGGCCCAACTCTGTTGTGGAACTTGTCGACACTGCGGTTGAAAAAAGGCGAAATGCGGTGGCATTTCTTCAGACCGAGAAGCTCTTGTTGATGGGGTTTGCTTTCGTTGTGCTAGGTTCCAGAATGGGCGGGCTGTTGCATGCATTTGCCTGTAGCACGTAGACGGGTGATTGAAAACACGAAAAAGCCGTAGCATTGATGGTATTGGGTGAGTGATGTTTGTTGATGGGAATGCCGCCACCTAGAAAGAAAGAGCGCCATGCGGTGTCATGTCATGATCAGGTTGGCCCGTGTTTGCTTGATTCGGTTGTCGAAATTGCACGGAAAGAGTTCTGCCATGGGAAGGATCCCTGCTGTGTTGCACTCCGACAGCTTGCGGAAATGAAGCAACATTTGATCTGTTGTGTGTTACGCACGAAATTTGAGTGCTTGCAAAAGGAAAACCATGTTGAATGATTTCTTCTGATGGAGTCCTGCTTTTGTCTTGACATGAGAGATGTGGCACTGGAGTGAAGCTGCTTGCTGCTGGACAAACAGTAGATCTTCTAGCTCCTTGCTTCGACAAATGCAGCCTTGATGAGTCTGATGAGGCTATCACGCTTGATGTTTTGGCATGAGCTCGCAGTCGCAGTGGAGTCTTTGCTTCCGCGACAGGATACGCTGATGTTTGGCAATTTATTTCATAAGCGCGATGCTCAGCGTGACCCTGCAAGGTCGTGCCTGAGGCCTAGGTCCCCCAAGCCCAGGCTTCTGGCCCTGCAAGAGCCCACCAAGGGTATAGTGCCCTAAGTTTTTTCCTGTGCGGGGTGCCGTGCTTGAACTTCACGGAGGCACAGGAGGTCCGCAGAGGATAGCGAAGCAAAACTTACCCGATCAACGTACAGAATGCCACAACAGCCGTTGATACAAGAGTGAGAAGCTGTGAGATGGGAGGGCAGATGACGTCTGCATCCACAGAAACAGATTTTTGTTGGCACGCATTTGGGTATCTAAAGCACTTCAGATCGCCGAGAAGCCAGGACGGCATAAAGCGAGGTGTGTCAATCCCAGGATTAAGGAATGCAATCCATGGATCGTGTGTAACTATTCGGATTCAGAGGTTTCGAATTTAGGGGTCGAGGGTTGTTTGTGTCACATGTGTCACCTGTTTTGTCGCACAGACACAGACTCCTTATCCCTCAGGTGATCCAAGTCGAAGATGGCAATGAGACAGGCGGCAATGGACCCTGAAGTGTCACCCGACATGAAGCGTTGTCCGCAAAGGTTAGAGGTTTTAGTACAGAAGCGTAGCCTCAGAAGCAGGACCGTCCTGAGTGGTCTTGATTGAGTGTGTCACGATGATCTGACTCGCCTACAGCCCAGGGCTAGAGATAACGAAGGCACCCAACAGCAGAAGCGTGGCAACTTAGAAATCCTGAAGCAAACTAGGATGACTCCTTAATGGTGCCGGACTTGGCAGCAGTTTTGCAGAAGACTGTAGTCTCTCGACAGAGCATACGGCTTCAGGTTTTCACTTGGTGGGCTCTTGTAGAGGTCGTTGCATTTGCATCGCAATGCAGGCAGCTTTGACGGCTGCATGTCTTCTCTGTCTCCTTGTGGGTTTGCGCCTCAGCCCTCCCCGCTCCGAAGACCAGCGAAACGCTTCAACCTCTGTGTTAAGCCTTTTCGCCTGAACCTATTCATATCTGCAGGGAAGCTTCGGATCGCGAGGCTGATGCCGAAACCTGCATTCCTCCGCTGCCTGCGCCAGAACGTGTGAGACCCCAAAGTCATTGGTTTTTGGCCTAAATGCTTCTGGAACCCAACATCGGCGTTCCACTTCGAGTGCCTCGTCACCCTGCGGAACTCTCAACTGCAGGCTCTAAGTTGAAAATCTGAGAACCCTGTCACCCCACATTACACTCAAAGGTGTACATCCCAACTCACAACGACCTGTGAGTTTTCAGCCTGATATTCTTCAACTGGCTTTCGTAAATCAGGATCGCTAGTTACTTCTGCCGAGCCCTTTGATTAAGCACACTGCTGAACAAGCAGCGTTGACATGCAGTACTACGACGCTGACGGGCCAAGACCGTGCTGTCGGCCTTAAGGTAAGTCATGTGGCTACCGCCCGCAAAGCGTCCTAGACTGTCAAAATCTTCGCATAGCAGCATTGACGATCCGGCCCCGCTTGTGCCAATCTTGCAGATTGCACTCTAGATTACACTCTCAGCCCTTAAAACAACGTGTCTCGAGTTGTTGTCTGAGGCAGGAATGTGCTTCCCATGTTTCTGTTCTGTGTTGCTCTCTTTTTTTTAAGGCTCCCATGCGGTCCACCGGGAGCCGGAACCTGGAGAGCTGTTGGCCTTCGAAGTGGAAAGTGGAGGTGCGGGCTTCCGCCCATTATCTGCATTTGCTACAACCTCGGCGAAATGTGACTGTGCCCGAATCAATCCAACAGTCCAGCAAAGCACAAACAAGAATACATCATACATTTGCAATATGTATATATATATATATATACACATGTTATATGTATATGTGTGCACAGACACTCACGTGGCTGTGTGTACGCAGTATCCGTTTAGGTGCAGTTTGCTACACAGCGCTAGATGCCATTCTAAGGTCAAACCGTGCGATTGCAGTGCAGTTTTTGGATGTTGTGCTAGTAGAGGGGAAGGGTGGAGAGACAAAGGCATCCCTTAGGCTTGGTTCACACGAGTCCCTACTGACTTGTTTCACTTCGAGGGCAGGCCAGAAGGCGTGTGCGCTCCTTCATGTAAGCCCTTGGCAGAGGGAAGTGTGTGTCCATGGTGCCAGGCAACCTGCCGGCATCTTGGTGCCTGCTGTGCTCATGCGTTCGCGTTTGAGAGCGGCTTCTGTAGGTCGTCATTAAGGAGTGCTTGTCTGGTATCAGGCTGCGTCGACGGCGTGCTAAAGATACTGTAATCGGCAGAAGTCCAAACATACCAGGTTGAAGGCCCGCAGTCCTGCAACCGAAAGCATTGAAGCCACCCAGTGGCCCTCCGAGGGTTCGCCGCGAAGGCGTTGCAGGCCTCTCAGGCACGCGTCTTTGGGACCTCGCTTCAGACGTTCAAAGGAGGATGGTTGTGAGATGTGGTGACTGCTAGTGTTGTGAAAGCTGAAACATAACTGTGACTTGCGTGGCTTCCAATATCGACACGGACCGTGTGTTTTTGGTTCTCTTTATTGAGATCATGGCAGCGCAGCGACCGACGGTGCTACAGGGTTTCGGCTTGTGTGGCTTTCGTGGAGGCGAAGGCTCTGGGTCTTTGGCCGAGGACCCGCCACCTGGACGGTTCGCAGCTTGAGCAATCAATTGTTGTTAAAGTGATTCTGCAATTCTGCATTCTGAGAGTCGGTAGGCGTCGCCGGAATCAAGGATTCGGCGTACAGCTCGCTAGTAGGGTCAGATTCAACGTTGCTTGGTGCTGTGTCCCTCCTGCTCTTCAGTATCATCATCAGGTTAGCGTTCAGCCTGGATGCTCGACGAGGGGAAAATAGCTTGTGCAACTTCGGGTGTGGCGGCAGATAGCTAGATGTGTTTATGTCAGATGTTCAGAGGGTTTGATTATCAAGGTCATTTTAGGGTTTAGGGTCTCTCTCATCCTAAAGCCTTACTTCAACAGCTTTCTCGTTTTTGTGCGTAGTCTTCTTGTCCATACAAAGCAAAGACGACATCACGGTCCTTTACACATTCTATTGACAGACAGGTGGTCTGGAAACTCCAGCGACAGCTTCTGCTTCGTAGTTAGATGTTTTTTCTTCTGCAGTGCCCGAATCTTCCGCCAAGCACAGCCTAACAGGAACTTCAGCGGAAATGCATAGCCCAAGAGCCAAAACCAAGCAGCCTGCAAGCAGCAGTCTTTGTTTGTCTGACCTAGCGGTGGAGTGGCTTCAGTCCCGATATCTTGAATCGTGCCAAGTCTCTTCAGCTTCGCTCTTCCACATCAAGACAACAGCTGAATCGCAAAATGCAACCGCAGCCTGAGACTTCACTCCCTGAGTCCTTTTGCTTGCAGCCAGCTCGTGCTAGATAAACCTCTGTGTGCAGACCCGCGCTCCCAAAATCGACGAGGAGGGCGAAGCGACTGCCGGGACGACGACGGAATCTGTTGGGCCCCTGGCTGTCAAAGGAGACCTAATTGCACGGTTTTGGGCCTGGTTTTGCTAGAGAGGCGGTGTCAAGGTTTCCAGGGCCTCTTAGGAGTTTTTGGCCCGGGTTTGTTCAGTTGCGGTGGTTGGTAGTCACAGCTTGCATCAGTTGGCACTGGACCACAAGAGCATTTGCCAAGGCTTGTCAATGTGATAGTTGTGCGGGGCAAGCGGATTTGGTCTGTACCTCGAAGCCCTGACGCCCCTGCTCGCATAACTGTCCATCCTCGTGTTCCCAAGCATGACTTTCAGGATCACTAGAAGTCCTGAGAACCTTGAAATCCCTGAAGACAAGGAGCCCCGAATCCCCTTGCCGGCGACTCCCGGTGAAAAGGTCACTGCAGAGCAGAAGTCTCTTGCAGATGCTGTGGAGGAGGGGCACAGTCGTGGGTTGGAGAATCGAGAAGAGTCATTGAGCAGTTTCGGTTTCCGGGTTTGCTCGGCATGGGTTCCGCATGCTGGGCTCGGTTTCGGCAATGTTGGGATGCTTCTGTGCTTGGTCCTTCTGGGCCCTTGAGGCGAGTCCTGAACACAGGAGACACAGGATAGGCCTTGCCACCCACGAGCTCCGAAACAAATGCCTCATCTACCTGCCCCCAGAAGCGCAAGGCTTGTGCACCACACTTTGCACCAGAACCCAGCAAAAGCTTATGAGAAACATTGACCCCTAAACTACACTCCAAGCCCGCTGATAGTTCAGGCTGTGGAGGAGCTGTTTGATGACGGCGAGTCCACAACCACAACCGGCTCCGACAGCATAGAGGCCCGGGCTCCAGGAATCGTTGCGTGCATCGATGCTGGGGATGGGATGGTAGAGGCCTTGCAGTTGGTGTTTGCGCACGGCTCGTCGGCCCTTTGCAGAGTGCCCGGTTGACACAGGAATTGGAGAAAACCGAGGCCGCATCTGTCCGGGCCCCAAGACTCCGTGAAGCAACAACAACAACAACCGAGCAGCAACAGCAGCAGCAGCAGCAGCAGCAGCAGCAGCAGCAGCAGGAAGAAACATAATACTAAGAAAAACATCACCGCAGCAGCGTCAGCAATCGACGACATCTAGCCAAAGGTTGTTGGGTTTGCCAACTCCATGACTCTCGTTCCACTGACTGCCCTGCACAGCATACCTCCGTAACTACAAGCCAGTAGCCTACACATTTTGTTCGGAAGCTGGTAACGCAGGAACTGAGTGGAAGTGACCGAGACAAGATCGCGGCAAACGTGCATGAACAGATGGAAGACAAGGCCAGCCTCCCTGATGCAGCACCTCATGACTTGTTGAGCTTGTGCTCATGTCCTTCCCTGCTACTTTCCCTTCATAATCGCACACGACATCAAGCCACAGAGCTTCTCAGCTTTGGGCTTCAGTTCAGGACTGGAAAGCTTGAGTCGTCTCTGCATGGTCAAACAGCTACTACCTCAATTTCTTAAGCCCCGAAGTTTCTTCAACATGTAAGGGCTTTGCAATTGCAAGTCCCGAAGGCTTCAGCGTCCTCCACCCAGCGGAGCCTAAGCCCTCAGAGCAAAGCTTCCGACTTTGAATGACTTCCCACCTGCCTCACAGGCTCGGGAGGGTCGCGGGGGCGCCCAGATCGAGTCAGGCTTTAGAGGGTCAGGATGTGTTGGTACGGTTTCGCCCATGTAGCTTGAGTCGGCAGCCATGTACTGAAGCACTGAACCCAACTACTTAGAGTTGTTGGGAGCTGTTCTCGTCTTTGCCCAGGCGGCTGGCTCCGATGGGACCAGGTTCCGTCAGCTTGTTTGTCGTCCTTTCCGCTGTCACTGTGGAGTAACCAGGAGAGCATGCCCATATCTTGCGTTTGGGAAGGCAAGTTGACAGCGCAGGATCTTTAGGGGGTCTGACCTAGACCACCCCCATACTTCAGGTTCGAAATTGACGAATGCAAGCGGACAAGTCTTATGCCCAACTTCGAGCATGGCAACGATGCAGGGTTTGTAAACCGAAGAGTACACGTTATGGCGCAATCTCCCTGCCTTCCTGCGTTACCGTCGAATGAACCTCCGAAGCAGCCTTCTCCTGTTGCTGTCTTCGTTTGTCGATTTGGAACAAAGACATGCTATTAAGAATTAAGACCATCAAGCAGCCGGCAGGTGGATGGCGCGAACAGCAGCAATGCCACCCAGTTTGACCTCCTCTGGTCGCACGAGCACAAGGTTTGCAGCCGTTATGGGTTTTTGGCTCTCAGGTGCAACATTTCAAGGTCATGATGTTCGAACTCACTGCAAGGGTTGGACTGGTTGTGTATGTAGTGTGACGCCAGCTTCTCCAAGACTCCAAGTGCCGTCAAAAGGCAAAGGGCTTGCATGCAACGCAACAAGACCCGAACGCCTCAAGGAAGCCAACCGGTTGAGAACAGGCTTTCTCTTGATTCCAAACCCTGAACCTTGTCTGAAAGACTGGCGGAGGAGTGTTTGGAGCCTGAGAACATCTGGACCCCGCTGTCTATGCCCGACCAGAGCAGGCCGCCTTTGGAACGTTCCCTGCACGTTGTGTTTAGAGTCGCCACCATAGAAACCAGGTGTTCATGTGGGGAGCGCCTCCAGCCAGCCAGCCAGCCAGCCAGCCAGCCAGCCAGCCAGCCAGCCAGCCAGCCAGCCAGCCAGCCAGCCAGCCAGCCTACCTACCTATTCACCTACCCTACCTACTTACCTACCTACCTACTACCTCCGACCGACCGACCGACCGACGCACCTACCTACTTACCTACCTGCCCACCCACCCACACTTACCTGGACTTCCTTGCATCCCTCTGACTTCGCAAGCTCTCAGTCTGAAGCGGGCGACACGTCATACCAGGACTGATGAGCCCGACCACATTAGCTGCAGGGCCGGGGACCCGGCTCCGACTTTTGGAGTGTGTGAGTTTCTGAGGTTTAGCAATTGGCGATTTCAATTCCTCAGCCTTAAACTCTACAGAAGTTCAGGCGCGCTGCCTGGCCGTCCGGGGCTGTGCACACTGGTCGTACTACCTTGGAGCTGGCAGCTGCTACCTGCAGGCCAATGATGCACAACCAGCTTCAATGCCATGGGTTTAAGAGCAAGCAGATGCTAACCCCACACCTATATCCCGCTTACACTTTCACACCATTTCTCAACCCGCCTAATAACTCAACCTCCAAAACCGACAGTACACAAAGCACCTCCCAAAATCTACGCAATCGTAACACAACCCAAAACACAAAGCACCTCCCAGCCCTCACCCCAGATCCGCCTAAACCTGCATCCCAAAACCCTGAACCAGAGACACCATAATCTCGGCCATAGAATCAACCCCCCGCCAAAGCTTTAGCCCAAGCCCTAACCCAGAGACACCTCCGAAATTGCCGTATCTATTTAAAAACACACAGTTCAAAAACTCAACATACGCTAATCCCAACATGCTTGCCCCTACCTTGCAACCCGAAGAAGCTTCGACCATCATAGGTTCTTAACTCTTGGATTGTAAAATCCAACAGTGTATAGTTTGATGAAGCAGGAACAATTGCCCCCGTCTGGAAAAAACCAGTGCCCTTTCATCCCAACGCATTGATTGAATGAACGCGAGGAAGGGAAGCATCGATACATTCAATAGCGCTTCAACAGCAAGTGTTTACTTCGTTTAGAGATTGAATTTATAATTGGTATTTTAAAACCAATCATTTAAATGACAACACATGTTGATAAAATCATTGTACCAGTTAACCTAGGGGATAAAGCGATGAATGTAATTTTGAATGTGAAATGAATGATGTAAGGTATTGCCCCAATTGTCAGATATGTAGAAGTCATTTCATGTCGAAAAGTTTTAACAAAAAATAAAAAAATAATAAATTATGGAGGAGGTGCGTAGATAGTATGAACAAATATAAGGGTTTTAAACGCAACATTTTTTGAAACTTTTAAACACGTTTTAATCCAAACTGTTATATATGTCGCACGACACAGCCTCGCGAGACTTCGCGTCTGACGAAGATGATGTTGTCGTTAAACCAATCAAGCGAATTAGTAGTCAAAAGCTTGTTAGAGAAAATAGAACCCATTGAGAAAAAGATGGACGAATTATTAGCTAAACCTAAACCGGTTAAAAACCAATGGACAAATATAGTGGTGATTATAAGAATAAGAGAAGCATATATGTTAAACTTAATAACAAGGATATTTAGTTTCCAAAAAAAAGAGACATTGGAATATTATGAGATTAAGTTTGACGACCAAGAGAGAGCATATTGAATATTGTATTATACAGAAACCATACTTTACAAAAAGCATGTAAAGAATTGCAAACCTACACATTAATGGCAGAAGCATCGGGACATAAGAACAAACAGGAATAGACTAAAATCAGTAGTGACCTAAACTTGACAAAGCATGAAGTTATGAATACATTAACCGACAATATACCATATATTGAAAACTGCGTGATGACTGCTTATGTAAGGAATGGAAAACTAATTGTTGAGATTATAGATGGAAGGACAGTAGATATTATGAGACGAGAGGAAGAAAGAAACAAAGAAAACAAAGAACCAAAAGGAATGGCAAAACTTTATACAATAATGAATGGATAAGCATCGCGTAGCATTTACTAGTTAGTTTTAGTAAACTCAATTTTAACTGATTATTTCGCAATAATGAGTTACTTTCTCTATTCGAAAACTTATTTACTACATGATATTTGGTGAAGAAGTTTTTGCAAAATTCTATGTAGGGGGCATCCCCCAGTACAGGGTTATGGTTTTTGGGGTTGTCTATGAGGGGCCTTACACCACACCTCATTAGGATATTGATTATTTTATGGATAAGGCCTAAACTCCCCAACGCAGCCTCGCTTTCTTCCTACATCTTCCTATCGTTGCTACATTGAGCACCGGGCTCACGCTGCTGGGGATTTGGTTTTGAGGTGGAGTTAGCGGAGATTTCGACATCTAGCGATTTGGACTGGTCCTTTTTGGGGTTCGGGCGGGCGGGCAGTCTTGGGTGTCGAGTTGTTGGACCTTTTCGTTTTTTACGGGTTCGGATTTCTACCGAACTGTGCCAGCGTGCCTCGCCGACGGGCTCGGTTTGTGGATTCAAGGCAACATTACTGTGGTCCTAGAAATCTTCCACAATTCAGCACATCCCACCAGCCTGTGCTTAAAGAAAGCCCAACACAGCCTCAACGCGTCAGCGAGTTAGCTTAGGTTTGGAGCCCTGATGACGAAACTGTCGCAGGAAAAGTTTCTCCTTGAACCTGCAACCAAAGCTGAACAAGCAGAGAGTCATTCTGAAACGCTCCCCTGCGGCAGAATTCGTCAGCGACGAAGGAATCTGGCAAGGCCCCAGCTTTCCACGGGTCTTTTCGACGGCAGAGCTTAGGGCCTGGGATTTCCACGATGTGTACCAACGGGGTGAGGGTTCATTTCAAATCTCGACTTTGTCAAGTTTCCTCGCTGGGCCGCTCTCGGAACTACCATCCTGCTCGTGCTCATGTAAGGCAACCACTAAACACTATGAATGTCCTAAGTGCAGCATGAAGCGTAGCTACCAGAAGCCAGCAGCTAGGCAAATGGGAAGCTTGTGTGCAGTGACTCTGTTGTGCTTCAGGTGCTTGTGGCCTTCCGTCCCGTCGGCATTCCGAAGCAGAGTTGTTTTCCCGCGTGCAGTTGCCAAATCCTTCTCTGTACTTGAAGCCTCCAAAGCACCTGGACCATTCCAAACCTACAGTTGCATCGTGCCGTGCCACGTGTCTGTCAGGGTGCTGTGTCCGGGATCCCCGGATGCCGTGACAAGGACCCGAGTATTCACCTGGGCATGAATGCTCCTAGGTGGCAAGTTTGGGTTTGAGGAGTAAGGAAGTTTATCTCGGGGTGAGGGGGATTCGTTGGGCCTTTGGCGTAGAGATGTGTCGCCGGTCCCGCAGTGGCAAGGGGCACCTCGCGTGCACACCATTGACCTTGGAGTATTCGTTGAGTTTGGCAGACCCCAGCCCTGGACCTTTCCGAGGCTCGAGAGTGCAGGTAGAGAGCTTTAGAAACCCCTGACGCCTCCAACTAAGCTGTTGAGTTTTGATCCGTTTCCTGGCCGAGGCCGGTGGCCAGGCCTGGGAGCTAGGAGGGTGTGCTCGCTTTCAGCGCGCAGGAAGTTCTCGCAGGTAAGATTTGAATGTGTGTGTGTGTGTGTGTGTGTGTTCAGCCATAAACAAGCTGAGCGAACATTTTCCAAGTCGTGCGCGTGGAAGCAGCCGAAGCCTGTTTCTTGAAGGCCGTCGCCGGCACAGAAATCCTAGCCTTTTAATACCCTCAAGACCCCAAGACTCAAGACCATGACCCGGACGTCTGATTCTTGCGAAGTCCTGCTACCACCTCAGCGGCTCCTTCATCCCTCTGGACATGCCAGAGCAGAAGAGGACGCGTCGAGTTTAAGAGCTTCAGGAGTTACAGGCTTCTTACTTGGAGGGTCGGGGGACTTAGTGAGTAGTTATTTTATAGACTTATAAGTACTATAACCCCACTTAGGGTCCCTTTTAGGGTACTTATAACTTACTTAATATCTACCTACTAAGTGCCCCGACCCTCCAAGTAGAAACGAGTAGCCAAACATGCTGGGCCAAGCTCACCGAGCATCCAGGTGTCTCGGCAGTTTTATCGACAGCCTATCAAAGCTCCGAGTCACCATAGCTTCAACCACTTTCTATTTCTGTCTAAACGACGCAACACTTCATGTCCAGCTTCGGGCTCGGTCGCGGTCCGCATTCTAAGCCCCACGGCGGCATAGCCGGGCTTCTCAAAGTTTTGCAATGATATGTTGTAAACCGTATGTAAAACCTGGTCGGATGCTCGTGAAAGAGCGTGCCAACTCGAGCCGTGAGGGTTTAAAGCAAGAAGTCTGACAGGACGAAGGAGGCCAGCTACGACCTCTGCCAGGCGGGTTTAACTTTGGGGTGGTGGCGTGAGGTTGTTGTGAGTTTCGTCACGGCTTGCGTCAAGGCGAGTGGAAGTCCAATCTTCTGCTGAAGCCACAGTGTGTCCCGATATATATATATATATACAAAGATAGATAGATAGATAGATAGTTAGATAGATAGATAGGTAGATAGATAGATAGATAGATCAATCACTAGGTCAATGGTAAAGGCATCTGGCGATGTTCTCAGTATGGCCCCCTGTAACACAGATCGAAACCACGCAGGCTGAGCCTTGGACCCCCCTTTTTTACAACCTGCTTCAGGAGATTGAATCCTAACACGTGTCGCAGGAACTATACAATGTAGCACTGTTCCGACCTTTACTGTCAATCCTCGGCTAGGCTTCTCTAGCTGTTACTGTTCTTGCTTCTACGTGCATTTTCATCGTCACTATTGTTATGAGTATTATTTAGCTGGTTATCATGACTATCAGCACGGCCAGTAGTACGCAACCGTTGCCGCCACTGTTGTTGTCGCCGCCACCCCCCCCACCTCCACCACCACCACCATCACCACCACCACGCTGTAGATGCCATGATCATTGCTGCCATCCTGGACACGTGCTTGTCGGCACCATTATTGCCATAATGTTAGAACCAGCATTGTTCCTCGATTTACGTATGTGTCGTCGTCGTAGTAGCAGCAGATTGCTCGTAGTCATTGCTACCGTTGATGGTGCTGGTGGTGATGGCGACGTGTTGACCAGCATGCTGGCTGATGATAATGGCAAGGATCAGGGTGTTGCTAGCGATTTGGCGCTGTTATTGATATTGCTGATGAGCACTGTCTTCAAGCTAACTGGGAGTACCACTGGTCTACGGCTTACTCGTCGTTGCGAGTACCATGATGTCGAGGCGAGGTGTCTGGAGACCCACGGCTGCTCGAAGTTCACGTGGGAGCGCCAAGTTCTACCGGGGCAGGCGGAGACGTTTTAGACTTAAGTGTTCCGGTTTTCCCGAACTTGAAACTCTGGTTCAGATTTGCCTTGGACTTCAGGGCTTCTTCAGGTTCCGCGTTCAAAAATCAGCGGTCGGTAGGCTTCAGGCATCCGAATCCAATGCCTGAGCCCGAAACTCTGAACGCCTCCCTGTGTGATTTGCCGAGAGGATTTCATTCTCGAGAGGATCCAGGCTAAGTTTAAGGCTTATTATAGTATTTCGGGGTCCACCATACTTGTCTCACAACACGACGATTTGACTTGACATAGGGTCTGGCTAGGTGCCGGGGCCAGAAGTCGCTCATCTCTTTGAGTTGTTGACTTAGTGTTGTCGGGAAAATCGACACCGTGTGTATCTTTGGACCTGAACCCTAAAGACGCGATGCAGAGCTCAGGTACTTCATCATGGACCAGGGCTGCCATTTGCAGGATCGGGGATTGCACTGAAGACTCTTCTCAGTGAGTGTCCTGTGACAGTGAAGATTTGGTTGAAGAGAGAAGGCACGAAGGCAAACTAAGTGGATGCAGGTCCGGGATTGATCAGATGGTCTGATTTGCAGGGCCCTTCACGTATGTCGAGCAACCTCGGGGCTCTGAACTTCACCTCCCTTTCTGAGATATGTGTTGCCAACGCATGATGTTTGAAGAGGCTTTTCTTCAGAGGTATGACCAAGTATTGCGGTTTCCTGCCCAGTTCCATCTGCACGCTCGCTCAGGAGAACTCTTCTCATCTGGTCCGGTGACTTAGACGAGATCTGCAGTGCATTGATGCACCTCAGTACCAGTAGCGACGGAGCGTCGGGGGTTCGGGGAGTTGGGGAGGTGGTGAAGTGCCGGTCTCCGGACTCCATTTAAGTCGAGGGTTTTGGCGTCCTGTCGTCTTGTCGTCCTCTTCGCTGCACGTTTCAGAGCGCCAGATGCGACATGCTCGCAACCATTTACAGCTGAGTCTCATGCGTGAATTAGTCCATGCAGGTCCTTTTCTCATGTTGCAATGGTGGATTGTTTCCCTGCTTCTACTTCCTTGTGCTGCTTCTGACGATTACGCATCTCCAGATCTGAAGCCGGGAGGGTGCCCTACATTGCAGTGGGAAGGTTCTCGACCTGTCAGTCAGGATCACGACTTTGGTCCAGTGCAGAGCTGCTTCGGTGTTTCCTCGTTCCTCATGTCCCTCGAATCGCCGCTCCAAAGTATAGCCATGAGCGGTCATTGCTGTATTCATCATGTAAGCTGCGTGGGGGCCGTTCTTGTGATCTTTTGGTACTTTGGCTGCAGATTCTCGAGATATGTTAAACAACGGAGAAAGACTCGTTCTCCTTGAGCCTTGCCGACTCGTGTAACTCACTTCGCGGTAACTCACGTCGCGGTGACGGCCTGCATACCGGAACCCATTCATGGATTTTCAGGTGTTTCTGCCTGGCACCATCGCTGGCGCCGCATCGTGCCCTGCCGAGGACAAGGCAATCCTCGATCCGCAAAACAGTCCTAACATGACGATTGCTGCAAGTGCTCCTGGCGTCTTTTTCGTCTTGCAAGTACCCTACCAAAGACGGCTGAAGGACATGAAGCCCACGTTGCGGTCTGTGGGTCCTCCGAAACATGTTGCAAGAGCAGGAGCAGGAGCTGGAGCAGCAGCACCGGGCTGTTGCGAGCATAGAAACGATGACAACTGCAGCTTTCTGATAATACGAACAAGAGTATAAACAGCAAGAATCAGCTTACAAGGCAAAAGTTTACTTAAGAGTTTAACAAGCAGTACAAGGACATGCGTGCCAATGGTGAAGTCGCACGAGGCCAAATTCGATGCTTACCTGAAGCAGCTGCCGATGATGCGGCACGGGGCCCAGTTGGGCGCAACATTATTGCTACCACAAGTACTGTTTCTAACACTCCAGTTGGCCATTTCCACTTCTAACGAACTGATGCAGAGGATGGGAGTGCCGACAGCGGTGACTGACGTTTTTAGTTGACCTTTTCACGTTCTGGTGCCAATCGTGGTGGCATGTGAACCTTTAGCTGAAGCCATGCGAGCTGTTTCTATGAACAGACGGAGTTGCTGGCCACTCAACCTGTCTGCTAACCTTCTTCACTGCAGTACAAACAAACTGCCACCGCTACTCTTTGGCCACTCTCACAATCCCGCTAGCCCAGTATGCCACAATCCCAGTATCCCACTATCCCATTATCCCACTATCCCTTTATTCCACCATCCCGCTATCCAACTATCCCACCATCCCATTATACCGCTACCACTACCGCTATCGCGACCCCCCCGACCGTGACCGTGACCATTGCCGTTACTACCACCACATTAGCACTTCCATTACCACTTCCAGTACCACTACCACTACACTGTTCCATGTGCAGTAAGACGACAGTGGAGCTGTCGTCGGGAGCCTTGTTCAAAGATGGCTGCTACTGAAGCGGAATGGCTCGAAGCAGCCAGCGAAATGAAGTAGCATGCTAGGCATACACCTCACACCGAGGGCTTAGACCCAAAGCTTTAGCTGTGCACAGAAGTGCTAAGGCTTGATCATGACAGGTGTTGTTGTAAACAAGGTTCCTTGAGTCTGCGTGCGCCGATGGCCCAGTGATTTTTCTGCATTTGCGCTCTCTGACTCCGGTTGGAACCATAAATGGCCATAAATCCTGTACTACGAAGAAGACGTTACGCGTCAACTGCAGAGAATATTCATGTACACACCACCACTAGTACTGCTCCTGCTGCTGCCGCTGCTGCTGCTGCTGCTGCTGCTGCTGCTGCTGCTTCTACTCCTACTCCTGCTGCACCTCCTACTGCTACTGCCACTTCTAGTGCTTCTACTACTGCTGCTGCTACTATTATACCGCTGCTGCTACTACTACGACTACTGCGATTACGGTCGCTGTTGCAGCTACGGCTGCGATTGTGGGGACATACATGTCGCGCCGAAGCCAAAAAGCTTCACTGTGGCAGGGCATTGGAGTCGTCCGAGCCTCCTTGCGAGGCACCGGAGACTCTTTAGGTCATTGGCGGGGGAAGATTATTTGCACCTGCCATCTTCGGCTTAAGGCATAAACTTTCGGAATGTAGGGGAACTTTGCGCATGCCGTCATTTTCGCAACCTAAGCCGATTTCAACCTCCGGGGCCGATCGCTGTGATTGAGCATGTGCAAATAAATATCAGTCACGGCTCCGGGTTCTCTTTTATATTAGGCGATGTTTGCTCAGGGTGTATTGGTCTATGGCCCCTTGCGAGGTTTTGAAATTCATGGAGGGTGGTACTTGCACGGGGTTTGTGCACGGTTTCAGGAGGCTCCGATGCTACGTTCTGTCGTTTCCAGAATGTCATCCCAACCCGATAACCCTTTCACAGATGGTCCATAAACTGTGATCCACCATTGCAAACAGTGCTTCTAGTCTACTTGATGCTCGCTAATGTTCTTACGGATTGAGAGCGGTTGTTGATCCCCCATCGTTTGTGATCAATGGGTTGTCGTGTGTACTGGTCTATAACCGTTGTTACTTTGCTGTTGCTTTGTTACTGTTCTGTTTTCATGTCACTCTTGTTCTCTGGCTACCCTCTCCTGGGCCATGCTCTTCCTGGGCTGAAAATACCGTTTCTCTGTTACCACCGCCACTTCGCTTCAAACTGCCAAGTCGACAATATCATCGGAAACCTCCGATCTCGCCCTACGTCTTAACCCTCGAATTTTATCCCGTTCCTCGAACTTTGCACTCCAGTGAAGGACTCTTGGGTGAGCTTCATTCCCTTTGACCTTCCCGGGGACCTCGACCATCCAGGTGACATTGCGAAGGACAAGGAGGCTTCTACCAGAGAGTTTAGGGTTCAGGATTCTTGTTGGTTGAGGGGTTTTGGGTTCGGGCGATTACGGTTCATAGTTGATGTCTTAAGAAACTTCTCAGGCTTTGTTGTGGCGGAAGAGCTTGTTGTTGCAACTCCGTTTCAGCTTCTTTAATCCAAAACCTGCTCTATGGAAGTGCTAATTGGCCAACTATTGCTGTGCTTGCATGTCCATCCTTCCTTTTCACCGCAGTTTATTAGCTCATCCCATGGCCGGTCCGAGCTTGCGGCTGTAGCCCCAAAGTCCGAAGCGAAAGATCCGACTTGGCGGTGATGAGGCTTTGTTATGCAGCTCCGGTTAGGGTCACGTCTCGGTTGCCAAGGCCAAGTCTCGCAAAAGGTCAGGCGTCGGCAAAGCGTGTAGGCTGCAAACAGCTGTAGCGCGGCTTTTGCCTCTCACAGCCCCTGCTTTTTGCAGTCTGCGTTTACTGTATAAGCGAGTAGAAGAAGCTTGACTTTGGTGTGCCGGTTCTTCGCGGGAAAGATAGCTTTCAAATGAGGGAGAACAGAGAAGACCAACAACGCAAGCGAGCAGTTTCTGGAGTCTTTTCTCGTCTCCGAGGACTGTGCAAACTCGTGGCAATTTTCGACTCTGCAACTTGTCCATGCACGTTTTCTCTCCGTTTTCTCTCCGTTGCAGGTAGGTCTGTGAGGAGCAAGCCAGTGCGACTCCAAACAGCTCCGAAACGCAAAAGCCACATATCTTATTTGTGCGTCCTTCTCGAAGGTCTGTCGAGGAAAAACCTTTGCCTAGCGCATGGTCGGCTCAGACACTTCTTATCCACAACACACCTAGTACCGGTCGTACCGGGTCCCGTCCAGAGCAGTTATTCGGCATAGTCCTATGTAGCCGGTATGGATACATGAACAGCTTGCAAAAAAACAATGCTGACTGGTATTGGTTCACTGTTCGGTGGCATGGGCTGTTGTTGAAAAGGGCTTGGGGTAAGATGAGGTAGTGATAAGGATGCTGGGAGTTGGAGGAACATAGTTGCAAGGATGTGGATTCTACGGTTGTGCTTGGTCTGAAAGCCTCGAAGTGTGGGCGCCCTGGACCTTCCTGAAAGTCAGACCCAAAACTCTTACCCGCCCGGCTGGGCAGGTCAAATGCGAGACGCTGTACGATCACAGCGATTCGCCTCACATCTGCAAGCACAGCTCTCAGGCACGGGCAGGGAATGTCAATTACACACAGCCCCCAACGGGACCGCGCCCAAGCTCAGCGCCTGACACAAACCCTTGTGACCAGCCGCAATCCTTATTTTGCAAGATCCCAGAACCCGTGAACCAGTCCTAAGCCCTCCCCAAACACCTGGAACCCTGCGAACCCTTGCCCAGCTTGTCAGGGCCAGGGCTCAGCAGGGTGATGTAGGGCCTCAGGGGTCTACTGTTTACTGTTTGTCGTTTTGGCATTTGGGCCAATTTGAAGGATCGAGGGTTTCAGAGTAGTCATGCCTTTTTCCAGGGGCCTTTTGCAAGGGAGTGTCGCACGATCTTCCTGCAGCACAGGGTTCAGGCTGCAGGGTTCACTTGGGCTCAGGACATGCATCTCCATCAGGTTTGTTACTGAGAGCGTCGCACCCCAGTGTTTAATTGATGAGGAAATTCCCACATCTAGAAATCTTTCGCCACGGTTTGCTTGTCAATAACCTGTGCCGGAGTATTGAATCTTCGTCAAAGCCGGGAGATAGGATCTTGCACAGCTTGTAACACAGGAGCCCCTTCAATCAACAAAGCATCGGGGTGCTTTTCGCAGAAAAATCGCTCGCAAGTCGGTGGAAATTGTAAAAATCGCCCAGAAACCACCCACCCGCTCTGGTCAAGTTGTTTTCGGTTTTATTGTTCGATTGTCATATTTTACGTTGCTTTTTTTTCGATTTGGGATCTCCGTTGCTTGTTCTCCTTGCAACATGACAGCCAGCAGTTGAATGTCAACTTGTTGCCTTGCCTCTGGTTTCGAACATCAGTTTGATGCTTATTAGTTTTTGCATCTTCGAAATCTTCATGATTTTGGAATATCTTCTTTTGTGAATAGCTCTCAGCTCTCCAAGATCACAAGCTTAGAAAGTGTTGAACAGGTGCGTGTCCGATGTCCGAAACTGCGAGCGTCTCAGGCTGTGTGCCGTGCAGGGTAGTCCAAAGGGAGATGGCAGCCCGGGTGACTTATATCTGTTTGTGTTTTCGGCTACGGCGCGTGTTGTAGTTGGGGCTTTGGCTTTCAGCTTCGTTGGCTGAACTTCGTCTGCGCGGCTTGTATGCCTCACTGCGATTGTAATTGTCAGATCCAAAGCGAGCTGAGTGAATTCATTCCCGAGGTGCGGCGAGTGCGGCATCGAGAAAGATGCAGGAGGCCTGTGTTGGGTCAACATGGCGAGCCACAAGCTGAAGCCATGTATCCCCTCCCCTTAGTCAGGCCGAACAGAACCAAGCCTGGCTCGGCCGTAAACTGCCAATCTTGTTCCTTCGTAAGCCGTGCAGATTGCGCGGATCTTCAGGCAGACGAGCCCTTGCCTTGGTTCGGGGGGTGGTTTCGGAATGGAAGGTTGCAGTTAGGGGTTGCGCGGTATGTCAGGTGTCTACACTGGGTCTATGTATTCTAAAGACCACTCAGGCATCCGCTCTTCCTGCTGGACAACCATACACTGGGCTGTGCATCTGTGGGGTGCGCAAGAACGGGTTCGGCAGTTGGGCTTGGGTTTTCGGTAGCGGAGTTCATTCTGTTCAGCTATGGAATCGCGGGCTTTTCGGGTTCCTGTCTGCTCTGTGCCATGTGGGAATTGCTTTGGAGGCGGTACATGCACCCAATGCAGTCGGCCTGCCCTTTACTTGAAGAATCCTGTAAGACCAGCGGCTTGAAACTCTTCACTCTCTGCTAATCCCACAGCTTGGTCCAAAGCCCAAGTTTCCAAACGCAAGTCGTTCCGTATAGGTTCCACGATCTGTGGTTTACAGCTGTTGCGGTGAGTTGAGGGTGTTGGTGTCGGGGGTTGAGGCACTTGGCACTGAGGATTTCCGACTTTAAAGTGGATTCCTTGTCCAGGATAAAAGCTTAGGGTTGGAGGTTTCAGGCATCATCTTGCCTCTCCGGTGCAACACTTCTTTAGGCAGAAGTCAACCAGAAACGGCAGTTCGAGGCTAGGCAGAAAGCGCAAAGGTCTGCCATGGCTCTACCTGCAAACTTTCAAGCCTGCAACTGTTGCCTGCTCACGAAGCTCCGAACCGTAAGTCCTGCAGTGGCACTACTGGCACTACTTGTCACTGCTTCTATCCACTCGGGAACCGAAGGTACGCCTGCAACCACGATGAAGAAGTCACCCACAAGTGCAAGTACACGTGTGGAAAGTCCGGCACCTGCTCTTTCCTGTCAGTAGTGCATTTGGTGTACTTCTTGCCGCGACTTCTGGTCCCCTTCCACAACTCAGTGAGCCGGGCTCTGTTTGGGGTCTGGGGCTTCGGCTTGTGGGTGGTGGAGGACATGGCGAGAAGAATGGGATGCCTGTCTCGAGGTGCACCACGACGACCACGACAGTCGCCAAGTCGAGAGCCCAGAAGAACGATCCACCACACATCCGAAAAGCCGGAAGCTACTGTACAGGAAACCCTAGACGAGTCCTTCAAGCCTCTGAAGCCAAAGCTCCGAACCTCGTATTCGCTTGTGTTGAAATAGAAACGCACGGCAGCCCCGGATGCCCTTGGCCCCTGCCCCTGCAAGGCCGGAGGTGGATCATCTCGCCAAGGCAGGGTGTCAATGGGTTTGGAGTTTTGGGATTGGGACTTGAGGCGGTAATATAATATAATATAGTATAGTACAGTATAATATAATATAAGATATAGTAACAGGCTAAGCTTTAGCAGGATAAAGCTGGCGGTACCATGCCTGCCATCGGCCTTGTAGTACCGCGGCCTATCAGCAAATCAGTGCAAAGAAATTCACAGAGGGACCCTAAGCTAGTGTCCGGTTGCAAGACGAGACGGATTGTCGCGGGCTCTGATCTTCAGGACTCGAACGGAAAGTCCTGAGGATCATCGAAACTGAGTAGGGCAGAAAGGGATGTCAAGAATGTTTCTTACACTAAACCCCTTGTGTGAGATCTTGACCCATGCCCTCCATTTGATGAGCACTGCGCTCGGGCTCAACAGGTCACCTCCTGCGGACGTCGCCGTTCAATGGGATACTGCTTCACGAGGTCCCATGCGGCAGCGTATCTGTGAATGTCGTGTGGATGCTTCGGTGAGTGCAAATGAATATGTCATACTTCCGCCTGTAGTGTTAAGATGTGACCGTTTCGCTTTGTTGGGGTATTTTATGCGGTTCTTTTCTTTTCCTTTCTTCCTATCTTCGTGACCTCCCAAGCCCCAGCATTTGTATTCCAAAGTCTTCCTTGAACGAAGGGAGGCTTGTCGAAGCGTTACACTTGTCGAAGCGTTACACGTGTCAGTTGTGACATCTGGGTTAGATCAAGTGGACTTCTAGACGGTTCGCTTGCGACATTTGATCCCTTTGCATTATGGCCTCTGGTTAAACGGGGGTTTTCTAGGCCCTTGGTTTGGGGTGTGTGCGACTCCATGCAGCGCAGTACCCCTTTCACTCGCAAACCAGATCGGAAGACCTCGAAAGAGTAAATGGAAGAATCCGGAAAAACTCGGAGGAACATGCATTGCTGCATCACTCTTGCAGGACAAACCGCGCGCTTGGGGTTTAGAGTAAAGGGCTTAGTGATGTGTAATTCAGGAACAGGTTCAATGTTCACGGTCTCGAAGGGGTTGAGGTTTTTCAGTTGTTTTTTGGACTCGTGTGTTTAGAAGCTGACTAACCCCTCCTTTCGAAACTCGAGAACCGCTGGTCAGAGGGCATGAACTCCTGGCCATGTCTGGAGCTCCCACTTACGATCTCCATGGAAGCCGCATCAGCACTCCGCTGGGCGAGAGGTGTACAGTTCAGGGCTTGTTTTGCGGATGGAGTTTACAATGCCATGGAACCAGTCTAGGTCATCGGCCCCGCGACCTGTAAGTTGCCAGGAGCCCTTCATTAGCCCTCAATCCCCCTTCTGATTCATGAGGTCAGGGGTATTGCTCAAAAAGGATGCTGGCACAGAACGAAAGGATATTAAATGGTTTGGAAGATTTAAGAAAAGAACGGATAGTCGGTAAAAAATCGCTGCAACAAGAGCCTGGGACCTCCCAACGTCACAACAAAGTCAGCACTGAATTGCAAAACCCCAAACTGCAATTCCTGAATCCTTCGAAACATGAAGCAGCAACCCAGCAGAGCCAGCGACCCCAAACTCCGCACGCAAAGCGGCAACGGCCAGGAAGCCAAACAAAGCCTCTGCCAACTGAAAGCCCTCCCTGCGAGGCGGCGGCGACTCTTCTAAGCCCACTCGCGGGGCAGATAATGTGTGCAGTTTGGGGTCCAGGGCCGGGGCCTGCCTGGGCTTAGTCTTGGCTTGCCTACGGACCTCAAATGCTTGGGCTCAGGGTTCGCGTTACCGGACTGCCCTGCTTTTATCTTCCTCGTCGGATCCGCTCTGAAGTTTTGATCTCATCCTCAGAGATAGATGCTTGCTGCGCTCGGCTAGAGCCGTCGATGTGCGCACTGCGCGCCCAGACCGTCCGTTCCTGCGACAAAAGAAAGGCAAAGATGGCTCTAGTGACTGTGGTCAAGACCGCGAGAATTCTTGAACCCTAAGCTGCCTGAGCTGTACTTACAAAAGGCGCATGAACAGTTGTTCATCATTCCTTGCCAGGTGAATGCTGGAGGGCGATGTTTCACTGTTCCTAAGCGGTATCGTTGCAGCTGAGCCTCTTCGTGTTTTGCATATGCATCTGCTTTCGGAAGATCTCTGTAGCCGGCTCTGGAACAGACTTCTGTGACTTGTGATCGTGAGAAATGCTGAAGATGGGGACAGCGAGGGTGATGGTGATGGCAACGAGGACAGTCATGCGGCTATTGCTGACGATGCCGATCCCGACGATGCCGATGATGCTGACGATGATGAGCACCGCGACGCTGAAGAGTGACAATCTTGATGCTGCTGCTGATGATGGCGATGATGGTGATGATGATGAGGATGATGATGATGATCAGTTTGATGTTCTGGCCGTGATGTCCTTGATGATGATGATGATGACGACTGATGACCATGATGACAATGGTGGTGCTGGTGGAGTGGTAGCTTCCGTGCGACCAATCGCATGGGCAACCCTCTCGTCGAAGAACCGCGAGATCAAGCCCCATGCTGGATTGCAGAACGGTTATAACTTTCTCGGGGCTCGAAGAGGGCACACTTCAGATTGGTAGAGTCGCTGCCTCCTCTCCCAGCGCCGGAGATGGGGAGCCCATCAGAGGCCCGTTCTTTGGGGCTTGCGGGGCTGAGAGTTTAGACTAGAGTCCAGAGTCCAGAGGCACAAGGGGCAACAGGAAGCGGGGCAGACGTGCAGCTGCAGCATCGGGCCGTGGGGATATCTTGTCATGGCGCACCTGGGATTCCTGGCTGGAATCTCTCCGATGAAAAAGTCCAGCTTTTGCTTTTGCAGCGAGGAGTTCTGTTCGGGGTTGATGTCTTATGGCTTTTATAGTCGTCCTCCTCGCGCTGAGCGAACGGAGGCGAAGAGCCTCTTTGACACCTTCAAGGCCGATGCTCGCCGGTTCTTGCCCTTTTGGAGTCCTTGGACAATTGCCCCTGTCTGTTTTTGGGGGCATACGTTGACTTGGAGTTTTTGTGTCATGATTTTGCACGAATGCTGTTGTGCAGTGTCAGCTGTCAATCGGTGGGCCATAGCGATCGTGACGTGTCTCAGCTCTCTTTCACCCGATGAGCCTGGCGGTTGCATCTGCCAGCGGCCCGCAGCCCTTGCCATTTTTGCTTGTGAATATTCGTGTAGACGGACATCATAAGCCAGCAAGTCAGGTGCGGGAGTTCGTCCTATGCTTTCGTGAAATCCCGTTGTCGCTTCCCGTCGACCAGGTGTTGCGCATGCTTGAGGTGCAGCTCTTAGGAAGACTGCGCGACGGCAAAAGACTAGAAAAGCTGCATGCAGAGGCGTCGCAGCTGGTTCTGGCCAAAGCAGGGATGACGATAGTGGATGATGTGCACGGAGAGTTTCGTATGGTGCAGATCGCCTCACAACCGCACAGCTTGCTGCACAGGAGTGTGCGGGGAAGGGCAGCATTTCCAATCCTCTGACATGGTCACCTGAGGACCCGAGTTCGGTTGGTTTTGCAGCACCGTTTACTAACCCTGATGGCAAGCCACAGATCTACAATCTGGCATTTGGAGATGTGCACCTCTTCCCTGGATTCCTCGGGGAGCCTTTCAAGCAGTTGGATTCTGCAGCGGTCCAGAAGGGTGAAGTGCTTTATGGGCTGGTGGAGGTGCAGGCAAGGCCATGTGAGGAACTTTGGAGGGCATACAACGGTTTGCCGCGCAGCGGTGCCGATCTCAGGGCAGAGGCTCACGCGCTCTTCGACCACCGCCAGGCTGTGCTCGGCTGGGGACAGACGTCCGGTCGCTTGGCCAACCCGACCGACGATTTGACCGTCCGAGCCCTGATTCATGGCGCACCAGAACGAATTCGGACCGATGGCATGCATATTCTAGAGAACTTGGAGGATCTGGTAAGGCAAGTCTACGCCGATCAAACACAAGCATCAGGAGGGGAGCCGGCAGCCGAAAGCTTGCGATCGGCATTGCATGCTGCGCTGAAGATCAAGAAGCACCAGCTGCTGCTAGAGTGGCATCCTGACAAGAGACGGCAGCCTGAGGAAGCAAAGTTGATGACACAGCTGCTCATCCCACTCTTCAATCGCGTCTTCAAAGTCTTGGGCCATGAAGAGACTTGAGCTTTTGTGCGGCCATTTGTTGTCTGAATCAGCGCTCGCTCAGCCGCATGAACTTCTTTCCAGATTCAGCGGTACTCCGGCCATGAGAGGTGACCAAACAGAGGATCTGTCGAACTTTGTCAACGGATGACCATGTAAGGTCTGAGGAACGGCAAGAGCTGTAAGGGCGCTTGGGTGCCCACTATCAGTTGAGGGAAGTCTTGCGACATCTTGAGTGTCCCGATTCTCAAGCGGGGGGATCAAGCAGCCACTCTGTCCTCGGGCCTTTACGCCGAATCAGATGTGATTTATAAACGGTGAGTAGAGATTTTGTGGACCGCGCCGGAGTGCACAGTTGCAGAGTTTTTCAAGGACTGTCCCGTTCATCAGGCCCTCCGCAGACTTTGCAATGCCCGTGGCTGGACTGGCAGAGTAGAGATTTTGTGGACGCGCCGGAGTGCACAGTTGCAGACAGATTCTGCAACTGTGCACTCCGGCGCGGTCCACAAAATCTCTACTCACCGTTTATAAATCACATCTGATTCGGCGTCGTGGTCGTGGTCGTGGCAGCAGTAGTAGTCGTCCTCGCACGGCAGATTAGTTTCGTTAGGATTTTTTCAAGATTGGCCTCTCATACAAACAGCCTACAAGAGCGAAGGGTGACCCTGCCAAAATACCTAGGCTGACGCCGGGGTTCTACGATTCGATTCCATCCCGCACCGCTGCATGGGATCTTCAAGCTGAAGATCCCAAACGTCCCCAAACCCTCCCAAGACATCCCAAGCCTCTAGCCAGCGGGAGGCGAAGTTCGAAGCCGAGCCCTGCGACCTCGCCAAGTGCGAGGCCTGCAGAATTGCGTTCGTGTGCGTTTCGTTCGATATGGTTTTCTGATGATGTTGTACACCGTGGCGGCCTGAAATGAAACTGTTGTGGCGCTTGTAAAGGCTTGTAGAAGGAGATTTTTTTGCAACACAACCAGGAGCTCCTGGGGCAGCTGAAGCTGCTCTTGTTCTCAGGCCGGGGCTTCGGTGCTGTCTAGGGCAAATCAGGGTTTTGAGGCATGGAGCTTGGGGACAACGAGTTTCCAAACTTCGCTTTTTTCGGTTTGCTTTTGCTTTTGGGAGTTTGGCAGCTGCATGGACGTACTTCGGCGGTCCGGGCAACCGTGCCGCCGTGCCGCCCTCGATGATCCTTGAGATCGCTCACCGGAGTCCACAGCATGGAAGGCTCTGGCTGCAAACCCGAATCTTGCTCGGGAACAGCGATGATGATTCTCTCCCTCTTATCCTTTTAGTGCTGCTGCTCCTGCCTTCTCCTCCTCCTTCCTCCCGTACTACAGCTGCCGCGACTGCTTTCATGCACACCTTACGTCTACGGCAATGACAACGACGATGACTGCGGAGCAGCAGCAGCCTTTGCCGCCACCGCTGCCACCACTGCTTTCACCACTGCTATCGCGACCAGGCCGAGGCCCCCAGCAACCACGGCAAGCACAGCAACCACAGCAACGAAAGCAGCAGCTTTTTCCAACAGCTTTTTCCACCAGAAAGTAGGACAGCAGCATCACAGCGACAGTGCCAGTGTCGTGTCTGTCTTCATCTGCATCATCGCACCATCATTCGTCAGCACCCAAACCATCGTCGATACCGGCAGCATCATCAATGCTACAACATGGCCAGTCGGACTTGGCAGCTCTTGAAAGCTGTGACAACAAGCTGTAACAAGTCTTTCATCAGCTGCACGCCACTTCCTCTGCGGTTAAGCTGTGCATGGGAATACGCCCTGAGCCGACGGAGGCTCAGCAGCAGTTCTTTCTGGCACCGGAGGTGGTGCCGACTTCGTCAAGGCGACCCGGCAGCCCCCAAATTCTGCCTGCAACTTGTAGCCATGTCCGGCAAGATTGCTTTTCCAGGGCTTGGGGCTGAGGGCTGCGGGTCCGACCATGACTCAAAGTAAAGGGTCCAGGCGAGTTCGGGTTTCGCCGGCCGCTCCGACGGCCACAGTTTATGGACCCGAGAATCATCGCGATGGGTATTTTAATGATTTTAATGCTTCTGGTGACCGTTGTGATCATCGTGGTTTGTCTTGAATGCGATTCAGCGGATATGTCTGATGCTAGGCTGCTAGACATGACGTCTTTTAATAGCAGTTCAGGTCGTCACGACCCATCGCCTGTCTCGAATCGCCCGTCGCCTGCAGGAGCAGCTCCTCGTAAGGGAAACCTTGGAGCTCGCATGCCCCGGCCCAAGAGGGCCGAGAGGGCAGGGGGCCAAACGGGGCCAAACAGCGGGAGGGGTCTCCATAGCCGGCTATTCAGACTTGACTCGATTTTTCGTGAGGGCATACACGATGGTGCCGTCTGTGTTGGAGTTGCCTGCAAGATCATTTCGTTGCACTGTAGCTCCTTTATTCCTAGCAGGCGAGTTCGAGAACCGAGGCTTTTTGTCAATTCGCCTGCGAGATCTTGCCGGTTTCGAGCGGCTCCTTGGGCCGCAAAGCTGAGGCCACTGCTTCAGGAGGCTGCCACGTCGCGCAGACAGCTTGTCGCGAAACGGCACCTACAGTAGTCGAAGTCTTGAAGTGTTAGCCGTGAACGGCACCGCCGTTGAAGACTCTGGTAGTGGTGCACTTGCTGCCGGCCCACAGTGATCTTTGAGGCTTCCGCAAGAAGCTTTGTGTCGCATCGTGGACGGCCTGTGCTAGCTGCTGCTAGCTTTGCCCGCCCAGCTCGCTGAGCGGCCGCCCTGCCCAAGGCATGTGTCGCAGCTGAAGATGTTCTATGACAGACAGCAGGACACACGCCACACCCACCCTGAAGGTTTGCGCAGAGTGCTGGAGCTGATGGGATGATTGGACTTTTAGAGCGGGCCTCGGGTTGCCCAAGGAGGAACAGCTAAGGACCCTCTGAACTCAAAGGGTCCTCGACCTGGCAAATCCCAGTCTCCAACCCACCTAGCCAAGAAGTTTCCTAAGAAGAGCGGTCGCATGCCCTGGACTCGCAGGAGCTCCCGCCGTCTGAGCAGAAGTATCCAATTTTGGGCCTGTCCCTGCTGCCGGGAGCCCAGCTTGAAGTGTCCCGGCTTCTGGAGAAGAGGCTGACTTGGGGAGCTTTGGTTGGCGGAGAGTTGCGAAATTGAGCAAGCTGGGCCCTCTGGAGTTCGTGGAAGAAGTGTGGGTGAGGAGAGGAAGCGCTCAGCTTCGGTCACGGGTTGTTGCATATGAGTCCAGGACCGAGGGAGTCTAGGAAGAGGGACCTAATTTGTAACAGAAGTTTTAACGTAGCACTCACGCTGTCAGAAGCCGATCCCCTCAAGGACCTTGCCAACCAGTATTGCAAGTTTTGTAGCTGATGTGCAACTTTTACGTTTGATCGGCTTCCTCTTCTTGTCATCGCTGTTGTTTTTACGTAGTGGCAGTAAGAATCATAGATGTACGAATGAGAAGAAACGTAGAAAAACAGCCCTTCTCCTCCACGAGGCACCTTCTGGCCTCGGACCGCCTCGGCGAGTTCCACACCGAGCCCCGCGCTCATCAGCCGCCGTTCTAGGGTTATAAATAAGGTAACTATAATAATAATAATAATAATAGAGAAGTTCTCTTCTCAGTGGTTCCTTGCGGGTCGCGGGCAACGAGTGGATACTGATCACTGCGAAGGCTTCGTTAGGGTCCATGTGCCAACTGGGAACTCACATTGCGTTTGTCTGCGCTTTGGCAGGCTTGAAGGAAGTGTTTTTAACTTTTCCTGTCAGTTTTGCATGACAGCCTGCACTACACGTCGACAAATAAAAAGCTTGCTCAAGACAGTTCGGGCTCGCTAGAGCCAGAGCTGTTGGAGCTAAATGGAAGTAGAAGTGTGCGCACTGATAGACGTCAAGGCCAAACGGGACCGCGAGCGTTCCTTGATGCACCTCAATGCCGAGGTTAGAGCTCATCCCGGTGGACGAGGCAGAAAACATGTATATCAAGCAACCAGCCGGGTGCCCCGGTTGGAGGTCCCCTCGCACAGGGGTTCAGGCAGAGGTTGGTGTTGGTTCAGGTTTCTGCATGGCTTGAAGCCACGTTGGATTGCTCTTGAGCACTCGGGGCCGGCACGCAGCATGCATGTACAGGCACACCAGCATCCTGAACCCCAAACCTGCCCAAGCAGAAAAGCGGGAAAAGAAGGTCCAGCTGGAGCGCTACTTGATGGAAGGTAACTACGCTAAGGCCGCGGAGTGTTTGTGCAGAGAAAGAAAACCTCTCACTTCTCTGCTTTCAGGGCTTAGGACTTTTTGCTCAGGCCATGGCAGGCTCGTAGAAGCTCCGGACGTGGGCCCAGGGGTAGAGTCGTAGAGGGTTTGCTTTCCGGGGATGATGCGATTAATCATGATGCAGGTCCTTGCGAGTTTCGGGTTTTGTGGTTTCGTATTTGCAGGTTTGCAAAAACTGCGTTCCGGCTTCCTGAGCGGGACAGCACTATCGCCGCCCTCACTGCAGCCTGCCGGCCTCCCTAAAACTTTTACCTGCAACGAACGTCCCAGATCCACAACCTTCCACAAAGCGTTGCGGCGTTGCAGTGAAAGATGCTAGAAGTGGCAGGCGTCCAGGGCTATCTACAACATCGGCATGATGGCGTTGCCATATCACACCCTCCATGGGCTCACTTGTCGTGGGGAGTTTCTCGAAGCCCTACAGCTCTGGGCACTTTGGATCCAGCCGCTAGGTGCTGGAAGCACAGAAGGACGTGCCGAAGATGTGCCCTGGCTGTTCTTTCAGGATTTGAGAGACCCCTTTGGGGCCAAGTTTGTCAGAGGTTTGGGTTTCAGATTGCAGAGGCTGCAGTTGACTATGCAATGCCTTCATTTCAAACAGACATGTGAACACCTTCTACAAAGCCCCACACACCCCTTACAAAGCCTTTTGAAAACCCTAAGCTCTAAGCCAACCCTGAACCTTCAACCTCAAAAGAACCCCTGATCTTCGGGGGCCTCGGCTTCACATGCGGGAGCTCGCGCAGCACCTGAAGTGTTTTTAGAGTTTGGGGCTTGGATTTAGAGTTTAGTTTTTTGGGGTTTAGGGTTTAGCTGTGGAGGATGCGACACGTCCCCACCCTCACCCCACCGTGAGGTGTGCTTCCAGCGCCAGCACGACCGCAGTCTTGTATTGGGCTGCTGAGGTACTATGCCTTTTTCATGGAGAGGCTGATTGACACAGTCCGGCAAAAGGCGTGTCCCCATCCTCCTTGCCTTGAGACTTCAAGCGAGTTCATTGCCTGCTTAGGCCTTAAGGTCTTAAATCCCTGATTTCACAGTTTTCGCTTGAGCCTTTTAGCTTCAAAGGAAGTAAGCTTCGAAGGCCCGGTCCCGCTCCCTGACGGGGGAGCCTTTGACAGGTGGGTGCGTCTCTGGAGCGTTCCTACGAGACTCTCCCTGCTCAGCAGGCCGGGATCGGGGTTAGAGTTTGGCGGTCGCGGCTGACGAGGGAGCAGGATTGTGAGCTGCAGGACATGACGTGCAAACCCTCGTAACATAACTCGCTACCTGCCCGACACCCTCACCCTTCACTCCGACTCCGTGAGCCCAGAGTTCTGCAGAAACAAACTTGCTCCGAACACAATGTGTTTACGGCTTTCGAGTAGGAGTAGATGGGAAGGCTCCCTGCTGTCAGAGGGGAGACATTGGCCTTACCATTTCCAATCCCACAAGCACCAGATCTCAAGTACTCCGCTCACAAAGCCCTTTGCTTGAAATACGAAGTCCGAAAGGACACTGGAACTCCTGAAACCATAGAGCCCCAAGCTTCCGGAGGCGGCGCAGATGCTCATCCTAGCAGATGTGGGTTCCCCAGTCCACGCTCGAGAACGCGAGGTTTTGGCTTAGGGAGTTGAGAATTTGGATTGACGGTTTCGGATGTAGGTTTCTGAGGTCGTGTGTCTCGCGCAGAATCTCTAAAAGAGTTTCGCATTGAGGGTTTAGAAGTTACAAGTTACAAGCTATGCAAAGCTCAGGACTTCAGATTCAAAGCGAGGCATGTCTGAATCGGAGATGGTATTGCTCGCTCGCTCGCTCTTCCTTGTCTTCTTTGTTTCCTTGTCTCTGTCTGTGCGGCTCTCTCTCTCCCGCTCCCGCTCCCGCTCCCGCTCCCGCTCCCGCTCCTCCCCGCTCCCGCTCCCGCTCCCGCTCTCTCTCTCTCTCTCTCTCTCTCTCTCTCCCCCTCTCTCCCTCTCTATCGCGCTCTCTCTCGGTCACGGTCTCGCTGTCGCCTGATATGCTGATGTAGATTTGTGGATCGAGTTTTGTTTGCAGTGTCTCTGGCAGACTTGCTCCCTGCGCTGATTAACGGCCGTGTCTTGTCCATGAAGGCATGGCCATCCAGCAGTGCCAGATCAGAGCCCGGTATCAATGAAGCGGCTCGTGCGTAAAGCATGCAGGCGCCATCCTGCCTGGCAACACCTGAGCGAACAAAGCGGTTCAGCAGTAAGAGCCAACACTCAGCTCGTCATCGTCATCACCACGTCATCATGACGATCACCATCACCATGACAATTGACCGTGACCATGACCATGACCCCAGTCCTCGCCGCCCCTGTCACGCGCCACCGCCATGGCTTCCTCCACCACCACAACCACTGCAGCGCAGCAGCAACACCACCACCACGCCATCAAACCACCACCACCGCCGCCGCCGCCGTGCATGTCGCCATAACCAAGGCACTGATTTAACGGCCATGTCTTGCTCATCGGGTCATGGCCATCCAACAGTGCCAGATGAACAGTGCCCGGTGTTCAATGAAGCGGCTCGTGCGTGCAGCATGCTGCCGCCATCCTCCCGGCAACATTGGCGTGCCACACGATTTGGTCACCACCCGAGGTGAGCTCTGGATTAACGGCCGTGCTTTGGAAATCAATGCCTGGCCATCCAACAGTGCTATAGCAACAGAGCCTGGTATGAAGCGGCTCGTGCGTTCAGCATGAAGCCGCCATCCTCCTGGCGCTAGGTTGCAGCTTGCCGAGCCCTGACCACGAACATGCCCCATGCAAGCAGCAACGTCATCCTGCGTTCAACTTGTGAGCCATCCGCTTTCCCTTCCACTGAGGTGCCTGCGTTGCAGGAATTCGCAGTGAAAGAAAACGAGCGCAAGGCCCGAGAGGACGCCTGGGGGCTATGACGGCTATGAGTTCAGGTTTAGAGCAAGGGCAGCCGCGCCACGAGTGCTTCTCCCAATCTCAAAGAAGAGGCTGTCCGAGGCTATGTCATAATGTCATACTGGTGTTTCTGCTCCTCCGGATTCCTCCGGCGGAGATTCGGGAGTGATAGGGAGTCTCCGGTGCGTGTTCGGGGTGGTTGAGGGTTTAGGATCAGGGATGGGGTCTGTTGCAATACATCATCATCTGATATCATTTGCTTCAACTCTTGAAAGGGACTTAGCTAGCCCTCCTTCGAGGGGAGCAAGGACAAAACGCATTCTGTCATAAACCTGCACGCAGAAGGGCTGGCTTGAAATCCATCCTCCGCATATTGAAAGCTTGAAAACTGCTGCACCAGGGTGACTTGGAGAATTATCTGGGGCATTCGTGTCCTTGGCTTTAGTGAAAGTTTAGTGCATTTGCCCGAGGAGTCGGACGATCCGATGGGCGACCTGACTCCCTCCCTGACGCGAAGGGCGCCAGTGGGGCTCGTGAAGTGGGAGGCCCGCCATCCGAGAAAAAGCCAAAGACTGAACCCAAAGACAGAAAGCAAGCCCCTACTTCAGCGATCTTCTGTGCTCTGGGCAGTAAGCCACTGCTGGTCGCTTGGTTTGGGGTGTTTGCCGACCTCTGGGCTTGGGAGGCCTGGAGTAAAACCTGGTTCGAAGCATGCAGCCTGCTGGGTACCCCCACCTTCAGGTTTGGGCTTGTGCAGGTCTCAAGCTTAAGTAGAAGAAACATGGAGCAATTGAGCACCTAGCTGGAGCTTTTAGGAGCGGTGACGAGCCTGGACTTAAGCACTGACCCTCGGGTCTTACATCCAGGCATCTTTCCGAAAGCGTATAAAGCCTCAGCCCCCCTGCGCTCTAAGTGCTAAACTAAACGAAACCTTCGACGCCACAGCGTAAACCTTCATGCCTCGGAGCCCGAAGGCGACACTCTAAACCGCCCAAGAAAGATTCCAAGTGGAAGGTGAGAGATGGCCGCCTCCACTTTATCCGGTCCGAGCAGAAAAGGTCCGCGTTCGGGGTTTTGGAGGGCTTCGAGTTCTGGCGGCTGTCAGAGTCTGGAAGACACCGCCATGTGGGCTTGGGATTTGCAACTTTGGCGATGGGGCGATCTTGGGTGCAGTTGCAGGTTTGGGCAGCCTCCCTTGTCTCCAAAAGTCTTGTCCGCAACGTGTTGCGGCCTTGCACTCCGAGTTTTGTGAAGTGGCATTTCGTTACACTGTAGGACTTCGTAAGGTGACCTTGAGGCATTGCCTCATTGCCGAAAGCTGCCGACGAGTATTCAGCGAATCGCTTTGGAACCTGTCTGCATCCTCGGCTGCGGTCGTGTAGGGCACCAGCCATGGTAATCATCATCGTCACGACGACCAGAACAGTCGTCATCATCATTGTCATCATCACCGTCAGCAACAGCCCGGAGCATTAGCACCACCAGAATCCTTTGTACTCGTTCTGGTCGTCCTCCAATTGGTTGCGGTCGTAGTCGTCGTCTTGGTCGTAGTCGTCGTCGTCCTCCTCCTCCTCCTCCTCCTCCATACCCGTCGTGGCGAGCATCCTCTTTCTTATTCCCAACCTCGGCACCCTTGATCTTCATTGCCATCGCAATCACTACACCAACATGACCGGATGCAAAGCATACGTCTACTTAGTAGTCTAATTAGTGATTGTGACCGCCACAATGCGACATATAAGCAGAAAGGGAGAGTACGGTCAACCGGCATCAGCGATTTCGGGTGTTCTAGCGTCCGAGCTTGAGCAATCGCATTGCATGTGTGGCAGCTTTACATGTAGAACTCATCCTTCAACGCCAGCTGCTTCACTGCCTCTACAGAGGTCCATGGGCTTCGTGGCAGCCCATGGAGTTGGGCATCCCTTCAAGACCCTAGAATTTTGTTGCAAATTCAGTAGCTCCACCACTTCTCCCAACGGCTGATCTCTGAACCATAAATTGCGGTTAAGCTAAGCTTCTATGAACCGAAACCTTCCCTGACCAAGCTCTTGGTCGAGGCTGGAGCTGCCAGCAGTGGACCTCATGGTCAACACCATCGGTGTGACACTCAGACTCTTCGGAGGGCCCTTCAAAGCCGGTTTCTGTTGGGAGGCCGAGCCTCTTTGAGAGGCAGCGCTGCTATCGTGCCCTGAGGTTATGCCACCGACCTTGAACGCATTGTGTGAGTTTGCACTGGCCAAAGGCGGCCTGAATAGTGACGATGCATGCTTTGAGACCGGGTGCTTCTTGCGTGCATCAAGCATGCAGAAATGGCGAGAAGGCCCGTGCGCAGCAGCACAACATCTGCCACGAAGTGTCTGCTTCTCAAGCAGTTGAATGGCAAAGCGTCATCAAACAGGCATAGCTGCTCTCGTAATGTGCTGCTGTGCCAATGCACTGGTGCGATTGACTAGCTCAGAACAGGTTGGTGTAGTCGCACGACCACCGTGCGCATGTGACCATTTGGATCCTTGTGCAAGTTCGGCCAACCACACATCACCCATCTAGCTCTCTTGCGAGGAGACCCGAGACCGTATCTCAAGCCGAAGTTCCCCCCCTGAAGCACATACCTCATGCCTTAAGATCCATATAAGAGTGCAAAAGCGTTGCCCGTTTCACTGCGAAGTGGCGTGCTCCGGTCCACGGAAGCCGACGAAGAGGCAGACGCCATCGGGAGCTGGAGGTGATCGTAAGGAAAGGTGATTTCGGATTTGTCCCCTACGATGCCATGCCTTCTGGATAGAGGCACTGCAGATAAGGGCTGTCGTGCCTTTCGGCGAGAGCTGTGGTTTCATGGGGTGGCTCGATGCTTCATGTCTTCGTGGCTTAGATGCTTCCCTACTGTAGCTTCTCGAACCACAAGCTCCGAGATCACCTTCTCCTGAGTTCCCTGTTGCCTCTCTCTGTGAGGGAGAACCAGCTATGGTAGTATTTGGTAGTATGACATCACGGCTGCTGCTGTAGCTGTTGGACAAATGGATTGAGCACGCGACCTTGGGACGTTGGAAGCCTAGCCTAGACGAAGAAATGCTCGAAGAGCAGAAGCGTGTACGATGGAATGGAGCTGCTGAGGATTTACGGGGGCGTTTCGGCTTTTGGCAGGCTACATCTTCTTATGCTCTGATGCTCTTAGTGACAACTCAAACACAGACAAACGGCTCTAAGCTCTGAGCACGGCGGCCTCAGAGCCGCCCGCAAGCAGAGGCCACGGCTGTGGGATTTGAGCGTTGGCAGCTACCCGCTGGCCCGAATGGGAGGGGAGTTCTGTACCGAACTGGACAGAGGCTCCATCTACGACGTGTCTGAGAATGGCACTGCCAAGACGAAGCTATCTAAGCAACGCCGTTCCTTGGAAAGCGAAAGCCTCCTCGGCGCCTACAAAGTCTACACCCTAGCTTGACCTTGAAAGAAGACATTCCACATTCAAGTCTGCCAGCATACATCCCATTTGCCATGGCCTTGGTGGCTGCTGCTGATCCCCTCTGCCTTAAGCCAGGGAGCCTCCCGCGCGCGAGGATAACGGCAGAGATTTGCAGAATTCTTGTCAGCACAGACATTCCAAACCCTGCCCAGGCTGTTGCAAAGACCCTGGCAGCCGCTCACATGCTTTCCGCCCACCAAGAAACCCTCCCAGGATCTTCGCCCGAGCCGAGCTTCCCACAGCAGCTCGGAAGCTGCATGGCGCTACGGGAGCTCTGCCCGTGGCTGCGGCAGGCAGAGAAGCTTCAGGACTTGGGGGCTCGGTTCTGGGTCGTGGGAATTCTGGCTCTGGCGGCTTTGGCGATCTTGGATTGATCCATGATGTCAGCTTCTCAGTGTCGGCCACGCGGGCTTTTTGACGTTAGGGTGGTGTGTCAGGTTGTTTCCGAGAGTGAAGCCTTGCAGTTACTTAAGAAAGCCAAGAGAAGAGTGTTGAGCATGCGTTTGGGTTCGCCACTACAAGGACGCGCACAAGAGGGTGCGCTGTAGCTTAGTGGTTCGTGATGTCTTGGACTGCAGAAGGGACATATCCCTGCAGTAAAAACTTACGGGGGCGAGGAGGTCCAACTCCTGAACCGTGGAGGCTTCGCCTGGGCCCAGCTCTGCAGCGCACGGCGCAGCCAGCGGCCCCAAAACGTGGTTGCCTTGGCTTGTGAGATGGTGGCAATTCTGCTTCTTCTGGAGTCTGACGAAGATGAGGGTCCAGTTTTGGTTTCATTCGGCATCGGTGCAAGGAGCGCTTTCGCGGAGGGTTTGGAGCTCGAAGGCTCGGACACCCCGGCTAGAGCTAGGCCACCTCGAGCTTCTCCAAGCAGACTCCGGACATCTCCCACCGATCCGCATGGCCCAAGGTGGTCGTGTGCTTCGCAGGGGATGCATTGCAGGATGACAAGCAAGACGAGGAGGAGGCCTCCGGCGACGAGTTCAATTCTTCATTGTCTCGGGCCGTGTTTGGTCTTCCATGCATGCCTCTAAGAGGAATTAGATGATTTCGGACTCAGATGCTGCAAACAAGAGCTCGAGAACAACAGCCTAAGCCTAAGACTTGTCCCCCCAGGATGTCTTGGAGGACGGTATGCTCATGAAGCGCGTGGTCAAGCAAGCCCAGGATCGAGAGCGGGCGGTGTTCCAAACTTCGTCCCTAAGTAGAACTGAACACGGCACCAAGCCAGGTGCTGCGACGCCGAAATCTTGAGATCAGATTTCAGCCCCCCTCCTAATGTCTACATGTCTGAAGGCAAGACCGGGCTTTAGGCGTAGAGAAAAATTAGCCCAGGAGGGAGCTCCCGGCCCGCTCATGGGCGACGAGGTCACAGTGTCCTATGCGCCTTGGCCACTCCGTGCTAGGCTTTTTTTAATTTGGGGTTTCGATGAAGTTTGGTGATTCAGCGTTGAGGATGCAGGTTTCAGGCCTGCAGGAGTTAGTGTCTTTGTCACATGATTTGGAGTCTGGGGATGGCGCTGTCGGCACGAGTAGGATTGGAATTCGATTTTTTTAGAGCGGAGTGTCGCACTTATGGCCTGCGTCAAGTTTTTTAATCCATCCGGGCCTTCAAAAGTAGTCGACAGGAGACTTTCGGATCTGCACTCTTCTTTGCTCCGATGGTTTGCCTGTGCAATGCCTCTCTTCACGGTTTCAGGGCCCCTGGACCCCCAAACCAGATCCAGTTCCTTGATTCCTTGGACGCCTTGGGGCCAGACGATTGCACTCTCGGATGGCACCCGCGTGGAGTCCCTGGAGAGCCAGCGCCTCGTCTTGGTGTGGTCAGGGTGCTTTGTGCCTTCCCTACTGTCTCCAGGTCACTTCGATGGTGATAATCATTATGCCAACTGCAAAGTGTGAGCCAACAGTGATTGTGTTGGTCAGGGCATCATGACGAAGAGCGCAGCGATGGTGATGATGACGATGTCATGCGATGGCGATTGCAATGATGGCCGTAATGATGATGAAGAGGATGATGGATATTGCGATGATGATGATGATGATGATGATGATGATGATGACGCTCATGATGATGATGATGATGATTGTGGTGCTGCTGCTGCTGATGATGATGTTGACACTGATGATGATGATGATGATGATGATGATGACGCTGATGACGCTGATGATGATGGTGATGCTGATGATATGACATGATGGTGATATGAGGAGTGATGATGTGGTGATGTGATGATGTGATAATGATGCTGTCGATGAGGATAGTTCGATCAGGACATAGTGACGAAGCCGAAGATCTTGCTCGTGACGATGACTCCACCCGTGGTGGCCCGGAACCTTCAACCCCAGTTCCCTTAATTTTGAAGCCCTCAATTCCACCAAAATCCTGTGACAACCTGATTGATCGAGGCGAAAATGCCACCTTTAAGCTCGGTGCTGAGGAGGTCTTCCGGGGCTTCGACGAAGCCGTGGCCTCCCCGGTACTGCACTTGAACACGCCCGAATAAAAGTATGTTGGACATCATACTTCCCAGAATCGTAGAGATAATAGGTGCCCACAAGACTAACAAGTACCTCAATACATAGAAGACTTGTAGGCGCAGCAACTCCCTCGAACGGGCCGGGGAGCTGGCGAGGTAGGCAGAGTTCCTGCATCGCCGGTACCAGCTTGGGAAAGCTTGGTCCTTTCGGTTCTGACGACTTGTGGCTGTGTGTTCGAAATCTCGAAAAGGACGGACCAGAATTTGTGTCACAAGGTGTCGTCAGAGATAGAAATGCGTCAGTCGTGCAGCTCACTGCATTTCTCCACCAGCAGCATCCAGGCTTTGAGCTGCACCGACTGTGGCACCATGAAGTTGAGCTGGAAAGTTTGCACGATATCTCGACAAGGTGCAGAAATCCGTTCTGACACAGCAAGGCCAGGCCTAGGTGTCTTGACACCACGCTTCCGCTTCTGCTGCCAAGGTGGCATCCATGCGCCTCTGCCTTGCATCTTCAGGATTTTGGATGCAAGGATGAGGGTTTGGGTTTTGGAGCGGAGTTCTTTCATGTGGTAACCATGCCGCATGCCTTGCGTGTTAAGGTAGTGCGTCCTTGGTGAGGCACAGGATCACGAAACTCGTGGGACGTCTCGGCAATGCACCCCTGAAGCTCCTCCAATGTAGCTTTGAGGAATGCACTCGTCTTATGAGGGCTGCAGGCAGAAGCCAACATGCCGCGGCCCACGTCCCAACAACAAGAAGTGCCGCAAGCTTGCTCAACCCACGTGCATTGGCAATTGTTGTAGGGTTAGATGTGGAGGCCTCTTCCTTGAGGCAGAAACTACAAGACTCTGAGCATTGCACCCTGAACCTGATCATTCAAGCACAAAGATGGCCTTGTTTAGGAAGCAAATCTTCCCGTGGTATCAGATTTTAGCCGGAAACCTTTCTGCTTCGCAAGGGTGTTGCGCAGGCAAGACGTCGAGCCGAAATTCATATGTACATGTGGTTGTATATATGTAAACGTGTTTGGTGGTGAACTTCAGACTACTGCAGAAGATGTATCGAATGCTTTTAAGCCTGTGATGCCAGAAGAAAGGACGAAGTCTAGGAGCCTTGATCCTCCACAGGTGCTGGGGCGAGCGCGCCGTGTTCAGCGTGGCGCCGGACCTGGCTTTTGGCCAGGCCTCAATCCCGAGAAATTGGCGCTAATCTTTAATGCCCGGAGATTTGTGACACGGCAGAGACTCCGGCCCAGCGGTGATTTTAGGGTTCAAAACTCATGATCCCGGTTTCTGTTCATCCCCTGGAGCTTTGTCACGAGATCTTTTCTGCCTGGCATTTGTCCAGGATGGCTCGGACGAGGTGCCACCCAATGCCACGCTAGGCTCGCCACGAAAGGAGGTTGAATGTAGGAAGGTCTGCCCTGAACGTCAGACTGTTAATTCGGGCGTCGTGGAGTTCGGCAGTTTGGTGCTGCAGTGAGATCTACGAGTCTCTAGCTCGCCCGCATACTCGTGGATTTCCGGCTTAAGCTGCACATCTTCACTCCCGACAGAGGGCGGAGAGCCGCGAGCTTAATGCTACGTTGCAGAGGGGAACGCATTCTTTTGAGGTGACTCTGCGATCATGGTGTGACAATTTTCAACAAGAATGTGGCTCAACAGTGTCACTCCTGCGAAGCGCAAAACCATACCCATACTAAACCTCAAAACTGAGATCCAAGACTCCAAACCCCCGAACTATAAACCCCAAACTATAATCCTGAACCCTAACCCCATCTTGGCCAGTTATTGACGTCGAGCTTTTGAGCTTCGTTGAAGTTGAGGAGGAAGACGAGGCCAAAGATTTCGGAGTTGCAACGCTGTCTCCTAAGTGAAACTCTAGGCCAACTATGGCCCAGGCCTGCGCCTTGTAATCTCATCCCCTCAGAAAGAGGACTTACAGACGAACATTCCGCGCCGAAAGATTTGGGCGTCGACATTTGGAGGTTCATGTGGAGGATTCGGGGATTCGTGTCCTCGGGGGCATGGGGCGTGAGGGATCGCGAGTGGGGTTCGGTTTAGAACTTTCAAGTGGCATGGCTCATGAAGTTGTGGAACGGCTTGTGCATGCAAAAACAGCGTAGCTGGTGTCCAGCTACCTGGGATCGAGACACGCCGCAAAGAGGTCCGGATCTCCGTGTCAAGATGACAAAGTTGCAAGTGCCTTTAGCGATACCCTCGATGGCTGGCTGCATAAACCGGAACCTCTAAGCTGGAGGTCCTCCTTGGCCTGATGAATGTCCTCATGTCCAGCATAGCACCGACACAACATCAAAGGTATGCACATCCAAGATCCAAAACTCGCCGTAGTGGCATGTTCGTTTCGCTGGCAGAACGACTTCGACCTGGACGGATTTGGGCGCAAGGCGCAGTCAAAGAAGTTGCTCTGATCCTGTTGCGAGACAGCTCCGAGGTGTCGCGGTGTAAAACCACAGTAACAAGGCTTGCTTGGCTACGATTAGGCAGATCCAAAAACAACTGTTACACCCGTTGTCTGAGAAGAGCTGCCTCTAAGGCAATCACTGGAAGACCCATTTCCATGCTCCTGACCTCCTGGGAACCCCGAAAATTGCACCGCACGACCGGGAAGCACCGGAGACCTTTGGCTGCTAAGCCTTTGGCTGCGACCAAAACAACGACCCCTAGACTCACAACCTCGAACATACAGACGACCCCATTCACTCGCGATCATACCCGGATTTGAAGGTTTCAAGCCCGAGATTCGAACAGAGGATCTGGGTCCCGGTGGCGAGGATCCAAATGGCAGGCCAGTTGTTGACTTGATGTGGAAGAAGAGGCGGTTTTTAAGATCAGGTTCGTTGTCTGCCTTAATCTCGCTTAAGACCGTTTTCAGCCTTCGGAAGCACGGAAACATTTCAACAGGCTTCATGTCATTTCCCTCCGCACCAGATCCATTTAGTTTTTTGGCGGTCTCGGCTTTCTGAGAAGACGATGCTTCTTTGTGGATCAGGATGGTGTCGAACCACCCAATTTCCGGAACTTCCATGTGGGATAAGGGATTCCCTGTGCATCTGCAGGTACATCTGGGAGCGCTGTGGCCAGGCACGTGTAGTCTTCGGGCAAGTACGCAACAGGATTTGGACGTGCAAGTCTGGAGGTCTACAATAGGAAGCTCCAGAGATCAGCAACTAGGTTCTTCTTGAACCACTCTGTAAGAACGGTATAATATGATCACCAATTGGGCCTCATCCATCTTGAATGGGCGGGTGTCGATTCTGTTTATATTTTTCTGAAGATCCAAAGATTGAAGTACGGGCTGTCGAGGGGCTTTAAATCTTGGCGTCGAAGTCTCATGATTTGTCATTTTGAACGGCTTCTGGTTTTTGGCTGCAGAGGGCACTTGAAGGTTGTCCTTTGCAGGTTTCGGGATGCACATGTCTCTGTGAAGGCTCAGGTTTGAATCACTTTAACCTATAGGCCTCGGGATTGGATCTTCGAACCTCAAAGACAACTGTCAGTTTAGATCTGGGCCTAAGTCTGGTCCCGGTCCTGCTTTGAAGGAGGTCTTGGTAACCCATCGCCTGGCCGAGGGCATTGGCAAAGCGGACGCCCGGCTTAGTTTGGCCTTGAGCTTCGAGGGAAGGTTCCGACGTCCAGCCAATAAACTCACGCGCGAGAGGTAGGGTAGCCTCGCGTGAGGTGCACACCTCTCAGAGTCTACAAGCCCGGGTTTCTCGAATCACTCTGTTCTGTGCGGCGCACCGCGCACCTCCTATTGCAGCTTCGGAGAATCCCTTACCCCTTATCTTAGTCTGTGTTCTTATCTTTTTGGTAGGATACCCCTAAGATTATAGGTTCCATAATAACCGGGGTGGTTGAGGGGAGAGCGGACTACGGATCTTTCGGGCACTTTGGGGAACCATGGAAGTTCTGGGGAGAACAGGGTATTTCTAGGCCGTATGCCCTGTTTGGACGCCCCTCCTTGAAGGATTCCAGAATCAGATTCTTGACGCCATTGCTACCTGAGAGCACCCTGAGCCCGCGTTCGCCCTGGAATTCAAGGGTCGTATCCCGTCCCGAACCTTTTCCGAGCAGGGCAGCTTCAGCATCCAACAGCCGAAGCCCTGGCTTTCTAAGACCAAGAGAACACGTAGAACTCGGGAGACTCTGATCTGGGAGAATGCATGCCGTGTCATTTAAAATTTAGTGTGAACAGACTGTACTTTGTTATCCATATCCTGACAAGCCCTTACGCCTAGCACTCCGATCTCGCCCAGTTCGCGAGGGGTTTTGGGTTGAAGGTGCCAGGATACTTAGCCCTGAAGCTCAAGGCAAAACTCCTTGCGAGTTTGGCTGGGATAGCTTTTTCATCATCTGGATTCAGGATTTCGCGATTTCAGAGAGCCCAGGGGCTACAGGGTCTTAGCCTCGACCTTCAGGATATCCAACACGAGTTTATGCCGGGCCGCATCTTCATGGCGGTGAAGGGTGAGGTGCGGTTTGCTTGGAGGGTCAGGGTTTTGAGCTCCTCGTGGCTTCGGGGCCAACTTGGTGGAGCTTGGCTTGGGGCCGCTGGGCATCGGAAGCTCTAGGAGTAGGGGGGAGTCCTGTGTGCTGGAGAGTCATGGTACCATAAACTGCAGGCAGCGACCCCTGAGGCGCCGGAAAGAAGTTCCACGTTGCTGACCGTGCCAGGTGCTGTTTGCTGGCGAGCCGGGTTGTGAGATCGATGAGGAGGAGCTCGAAATCGTGCCGAAGTGAATTGATTTGTTATTGCCTAAGATGCAGGCCCTGCGACACTGAAAAACCAAAGTCCTGGTGCAAGCGGGCGAGCAGAGCCAGCCCTGCCAAATCTCGACTCTCTCTCTCAACCAGATCATGAAGAATGGTCAGGAGTCGTTCTGGGAGATCGATGAAGATGTGGAGGGCCAGGACCTCAATTTCGGTGCAGCTCTGTGCTGGCAGCAGATTATCCGTCGAGTTCTGCGCACTGGCCAACGCCACCCTCACCTGCCAAGATCCAGCTAAACTCTAGAAGGAGGACTGGAACCGTCTCGCTAAAAGTTCAAAGGTAATGTAGTTTTCTGGAGATGAGTCGATCTGTAGATTTCATGCTCGGCATTGTTAAGGCCAGCGGTGCCTCTTCGTGCACCTGAAGAAATTAGAGGAGGACACACGGTGGCCAGCCGAAGCCCCAGCTATAACGTTCCCGTGGGTTAGCTTGTTTTGCACACTATGCTCACGTAGCCGCACGAGCATGAGGAGCATTGAGGAGCATCAGAGCATGCTGGAATTCAATGCGACGGAAGGAAAGACCAATCAGGAATAGTCGAGGAAGTAGCATTCTTTCGCAATGACTTGGGCGCAACTTTGTCACTGCGACGTAGCGCAAAACACCAAATGGCATGAGAATGGCTGAAGCGGCGCCATGTTAGAGTCTTGAACGTAGTATGCCCGGTGACGGCCTCTGCCTTAGAGGCATGCAGTTTGAGAAGGTACAGCATCAGATTTCTGAATCTGCGAACGGCTTTGCTGGTGGGAAGCCTTGAATAAAGCTTCGGGCCAGCCCGAACGAGACTATAAAATCAACCAAACGCTTACCCAGCAACATCTAGAACCGGTATACCCCGCAACGACTTCCAGTCCGAAACGAAAGCAGAGGCAAAGTCGCCGATACAAGGATCGGAGTGGTGATGACTTTGTTTAGGGCTGGGTGAACCACCCAACCCCAAGGATTAGAACATTTTTTAGGGGAACGCCCTGCTCTACACTCACAAAACAAGGCCTCAACCTTACCACCAAGCATGCTTACACAATCACCTCGACATATAAAAACTGCTTGCCGCGGCATCTGATTCTGGGCTGACAGCAACAGGTTAGAGTAACTTTTTGGCTCCACCGGCTTCATCAAAGCATGGAGTATCAGGGTCATGATCCATACCTGTGTTGTCCTTGCGAGAAACCAGGGTGGCAGCCAAACGAGTCTGGACATCAACAGCTCGTAAATCAAAGGCTCTAGTTCTGCGAGTTTTCTCTTGGCTTCCACCTGTTCAGTGCATGCTTCAGCAAGTGGGCCAGAACCACTTCCGGTTGCTCGTGCTACCACTGTGTGATGTCTTTCTATTCCAAACCCGCAGCAACTCTGCAGAAGTCTCGTAGTTTAAAACTTTAAAACCAACAGGTGGCTGATCACAACCCGTCATTTTCGTTCTACCACGCCAGATATAATGGACGGATTCTACATGTCCTACCCCTGTTACGAGGATATGCTCGTGGAAGATCCTGAAGATCTGCTCGATGCTACTGAGTCATGAAAATCATATGATTGAATATTTTTAGTTTATATTCAAGAACCATTACTAAGCTCTGCAAGGGATCCTTCTCATCAACAAACGGCAAGATATGATTTCGATTTCGGCGGAACATCTCATGGATGAAGCAAGTTTCAATTTCGTTGGGGTTAAAATGCGAGCGTACGAGATATTTGAACTAACATTTTGTTTTTTTACGAGAACATATACGAGAACATATTTGCGTGCTGGAAATGTAAGATTCCTCTCACATTTCCCAATCTTTTTGAACATCACAGATATTGAGGAGAACCATTCCGGACGTGGTCTTAAGAAGCTAGTATGTGGGGCAAAGTATTTGGTGGTGATTGGGTGAGCTCCAGGAGGTAACGTGGTCTCTTGGTGGTTTTTGTTACAACTTTAATGACAAGTAGTATATGATAAGATCTTAAAAATATAGTGATTTCTATATTTCATTTTACATCTAGAAGAGATAATTGTTAACAAGATGTAGGTTAATTTATGTGTTTTTATCTTTGAATGAGTTTTTTGCAGATAGTTGGTTTATACGGCAAGTTCTTGGATGCTTACCAAAAGTTTAGTCTTTATTGGATTTAGTTTGTTGGAATTTAGAATTATTAGTATTCATATCTTTATAATATTCTTGTTGTATATAATATTGGGTTTTTTTATTTATATTATTAATATATACATATAAATATATAGATATTATATTTATATTTTATATTCTGTTGTATATATTTTTATATATATTTATTGTTCCATTTAATATATCTTCTATATTTATCGATATTTAATCTATATAATTTCAAAATAAAAGTCATATATGTTGTCTTTAGAAAATTATCTATATTTAAAATTGAAATTCTTCCACAAAAAATTCTCTTTTTCAAAGTTCTTACTATATATATATATAAATTTTAATTAATATCATATTTTATT